AAACATCAATAAATAATCTTAGAGTTTTCCTTCCAGCAATAAATTCCATTTGCGATATTACATTTTAGTGTGATAAATGGAAAAGTTTCTAATTTTGTCAAATCGTTCTGTTTTTACGGTAAAGATTAAATTGAGCGTCGACATTTTTCAATGACTTTGCCCCAAGCCTGGAGCAGCTAATCTTTGTGACGTCACGCACAGGATTCGTTAATACGAGAAATAAGTATATGCCAATCTTCTGAAACAAGCAGAGAAAGCAAGCGGAGTTAGCAAAATTTGCAATCGGTATCTTTATCAATTTTCTTAATCTTTGAATATCGTCCTCGATGTACGGTTTTCTAACAGGAATCCGTAGTTCGACAAACATCAAAAGAAAATGCAATTTACCCTGATGTTAATCGAAAGACGAAGAGACTGTCGCTATATCTCCTTTACTTATTACAAAATAACAACCGAAATTTGAAATTTCAGCATAGAAGAATGTTAGTGACTTATATCTCCAACCACAGAATAGATACAACCAGAAGGGCCACTCTCGTCGGAACCTTTGAAGATTTTGTTGTCAACTTTTAGCCCGCAATCAGGCATCGCCGCCATGTTGGCAGCAAGATAACTCCAGCAAGTTCGTAATAGAAAATATAGTAATGAGAAACAGTTCGGCGCGTCCTCGACAATTATATGGCTATTCCATTTTTGTTTTGTGTGTGCCATCACGAGCAATGTCAAAGAAGGTAATTTTGACAACTTAGGTCGAATCGCATCGTTAGAATACACGTTTTAGAGTCAAAATTTGTTATTGTGGTCTGATGCTTTTGCCAACTTGCCAACATTCAATCATGGTTATGCTTGTATTGCGAGTTACAATGAAAAGGATCATCAACTTTGTCTATGGAATTTTCCTTGTAGTAAGTTTGTAGAATGTTACAAATGCTTGACTTTAATGTACTTTCGCGATCTTTTATTAGAAGAGGAAAACTCGCGATTTGCAAATTTGTTGCCGTAATAAATTCGGATTGTTAAAAAAAGTTTGACCAAATATTGCAGTGGAAACTGTGAACATGTACGGAATGGCACTGGTATCATGTTTCTTTCCAACATTCAGATTTTTGGTTGTGACTGAGAAGCAATCCACGAAGGTGTCTTCGAGTTGCATAATGTAATTTAAATAGCACGCTGAAGGAGCAGTCAGCCCACCAAAGTTGAGTTCTTTATATGCCTTGAAATAGCAAAGCAAATTGCCATCATTGTTTATGTTATTTGAAGTCAAAACGTTCTTACATTGGAGACAGCTGTGGATTTTGAAAGCTTTGCTTAGCAAATATCCTGAAACATAGGCAGCAGCATTTTTGAGCAATAAATTGTTGCTAATATTTTGTTCTCGGTAGTCATTTCACCAATCAACAGTGAGTTACTTGGAGCTTTTGCATGGGTAAGTGACATACTAAATGGTTTGGGCTTTTTTTTTTGAAAATTGTGTTAGCAGAGTGTCCATATCTTTAGAACAGTTTCCTTTGGAAGAGGTCAAAAGTGAACTAAAAAAAACCTTTCGAAAAGCTCTGATAAATTGTATTGGCGTGGGATTGTCAGAATTACCTTCTTGCTGGCGTATTGTTCCAAAAAAATTCTCTAGAGCATCTGTGTTTAATCTTCTGGTAAGCAAGAATGCAAAATTATGTGAGGCATGAAGATAGGTCCAGAGACAGATAATGGCCTTTATAGATATAAGCCATCCCTTCAGTGATTTGATTCTGCTTGTGATGTTTTTACCATCTTTTACCACTTTGATTCCCTGGATAAAGGACAGTGCTTCTATGAGAAAAGCAATGTGATTATAGCTGTTGCTTATTGCACTTTGTTCTTTTGCTGATTTCAGTGTGGAACTATTAACGCAATCGAAAAGTGAATCAAATTTGAAAAGCAACTCAGCTGTACCCAAGGCTGATGGTGGTAGTGCTCCAATTGATGAATATGTGCAAATTGATGCAGCAATGGTGTGGCTGAATATTTGTGTAGCATATTTAACTTGAAAATTAATCTGAAAATTAATGCAGCGACAGCGATGTAACGAAAATAACAATATATATATATATATATTAATAGAAGCAAGAGGACAATTTTATTTCCTTACAACGGAATCAATACTTTAAATTATCTAAAACATGACAAATATAAGAAACATATAGTTGCATAAATCCAACTATAAAACGGCTATAAAACGACTATAGCTATAAAACGGATATAAAACGGCTTAACGACTAAGGCATACACAATTGACAATATGGTGTAAGGCTGGTCATATGGTGTAAGATTGGTCATATGGTGTAAGGTTGGTCACATGGCATTCCCAACACAATATGGCATTGGCATTAAATACAAGGTAGGTAGGTAGGTAGTTTACAATTGCACAAGTTTGCAATTTCTCAATGAACATTTATCGAATGTTCGGGATAAACAATATGACCAACCTTAAACGGCTAACACCGTTTGTTGTTGGTCATATTGTGTAAGCAACGGCTAACAACGAGCACGGATTAACGACTGTCACAGACGAATCAACTATTACATCAAACAACAAGAACAACAATGACGTAAGAACCAGACAACAAATACGGCTAACCTGACGTTTACTCCTCATTTGACTCTGAAGATGACTACCGCTAAGGTTGTCGAAACGTCAGTCAACAACATCAAAAACAGTCCTTCTCAGGACTTTATTAACCTGGACGATCATCATTTACAAACATATGATGATACTAATGTTATTTTTAAAGGGCATATGACTCCAAAAATTTACTATTCTAATTATATTTTCGTTCAACAGAACTTTAAAAATGGCAGTGTATTTTGTAGAACTGTTTATGCATATCGTAGATATTGCGATATTAAAGTTTTTTTAATAACCGATTTACACAACTTTCCACGTCATTTTGCACAATGAGTTGATACAAAGTTTCCAACATCCTTTAGTTTCAAGGCAACTTTTTTGTCAAAATTATGAGGAAATCTTTTATCATTAACTCCTCACAAAAAGAAGCTTCTCTTCGGTTAACAGCAAGTATACCTGCTCTGTCAAATTTTCATTATGCAATGTGACGAAAAAACGTTTTTGTAAAGCGTCCATTACACAAACTACATTATCTTGAGAGTGAAACGTGACGTGAATAAAGTTATGTTCAATGAAAATATAATCTAAATAGCACAATTTTCGAGTGGTACATTTTGAATGACTTTACGTTTATTTAAGATAAATAGATGATTTTCTAACTCCTGGAGATACATCAGTGTACCGTAACGCTTTTTAACGATCGTCTCACTATTACTAATGTTTGAATTTTCAATATGAACATAATAGCCCAACATAAGACTTTTAAAAAAGCAATCACAATAATAAAATATAAGGTTTTTTCATTAATAACGTTTCGTCTTTAACTTAAGACATCTTCAGATTATATGAGATAAATTATATACGTAAGGTTTTAAATACAAGCATATATTACAGGTTGTTAAATTACATGTGAGGGGAGTAGGAAGTTTAGATGACGGAATTAAGGGAGAACGGCGGTATATTAAAGAAGGTGAAGGGGGATTGAGTTGCCTTGGGTGTTAAGAGAGGGTTTAAGTTTGGATATAAGAAGGCTTTCATGAATCATAAGGTCATAATTGTCGGAGGAGGAGAGAGAATTGAGAAGTCATTAAAATTAGCAGAGTGAGATGTATTTCTTATATGGAAAGAACTGCAGATGGTGGTGGACATAAGGAAGGTTTCTCTGTTAATGGAGAGATTCCCAAGTGTTCCGATATTCTGGTGTGTAAATGACGCGTGGTTTGACCCACATACGATGCAGAGCAGCATCGACACCTAAATGAGTATACAATACCAGATCTCAGGAGCTTGGGAACCCTATCTTTAAAAGGAAAGAAAGAGGAGAGGCGCCTGGAAGAACGAAAAACAAAGCGAACGTTGATATGAGGAAAGGCAGCATTGCAGAGTCGAGTGATTTGAGTGCGAATCTGAAGACAGTGTAGGTCAGTGAATCGGAGACAGAAGTACATGATTTTCTTAGGAGCATTATCTTACTTCTGTCTACACTTTCACTGGCGTCATTTACACACCAGAATATCGGAACACTTGGGAATCTCTCCCTTAACAGAGAAACCTTCCTTATGTCCACAACCATCAGCAGTTCTTTCCATATAAGAAATACATCTCACTCTGCCGATTTTAATGACTTCTCAATTCTCTCTTCCTCCTTCCTAATGTAATTTAACACCCTGTAGTATATGCTCGTATTTAAAACCTTATGTATATAATTTATCTCATATAATCTGAAGATGTCTTAAATTATAGACGAAACGTTATTAATAAAGAAACCTTTTATTTATTATTGTGATGGCTTTTTTAAAAGTCTTATGTTGGGCTATTATGTTCATATTGAAAATTCGCTTTCCGCCTCGCAAATCTCTGGCCAGGATTTTAATGTTTAAATGTTTATTTTGGATGAGTTTGATGATATTATTACTCCTGGTTGTACATCAGCGTGCCTCAAAGCTTTGCGTCAAGGATATGTCATTGTTACAGCTGGATATCAATATAAAAATATTAATATTAAAGCAACTGTTACAGTAGCTGCGTACTTAATACTTAAAGTAAGGAAAATTCATCTACTTTTCTCTAACATTTTATTTACTGTTTCGTTTTACTGTCAAATTTCAATCCCCTAAATGAGAAATCTCACACCATTATTGTCACGTTATAAATGTATTATCTTCTAGGCTCTCGATCCTGTTGACATTGCTGTTGTCACCCTTGGTTCAGCAAAGAACTTTATCATACAAGGTGGACCTCAACCATTGGTTCATGATAGATCAACACATTATGAGAAAGGTACGTAACCACGTCATTTATGGTTTCATGTCAGATCTACACATTATGAGAAAGTTAATTACATCCATTGTATTACTTTAGTAACTAATTATAGTATATTTTGTACTTCATTGAACTCTGAGAAGTTAGCTCTGATCTCAATAAGAACTGATGTGATACCACAACATCCGTTCGGTGAACAAAGCTCTGTACATTATTATCACGTGACTTGTAAGGAGTTCGGGGAACAAAATATTGTGGTTACAATTGGCAATAATCCATCAGAAACTAATAACTATCCAGCGAGCTCTATTATCACTTTGAGATTTGCCTGCATGATACCTGCCACCCTCAACTCTGAACCAGATGTCCAACTACCCGAGATCACGGATCGTACGTTCAGTTTACAGGATTGTCAGAGTCCTAATAAAGAGGTATTTGTTACGTATAATTAGCAATTGTTCATTTGTTTGGTATATCTAGAGAAACATAAATGTTTTTGTAACTTTTAATGAAAAATTTTTTTTCTGTATACATAAATGAGGAGAACGAAAATTGTCATGTTAAGGATGTGTCAAATATAGATTTAATAAAATACAAATATGTTTGCAATGTATTGACTATACCGCAGCATTATCTATTTACTGCATGTATTACTGAATTTCTGTATTACTGAATTTTTTATTTTTATTGGAATTATTGAAATTAGTGGAAATGACGATCTTTTTCAAAACAATTTTAGCCAATAGTACGAAACTTCCATCGTTCACAACGAACATCACAAAGGTTGAAGTTGAAAACGAGTCTCGCAAGGGAAAGATTCTCTGTAACGTGCTCAGTGCTGAGGACAACGACTACTGGTTCACACGAGAAGGGAAACGCGTAACAAATAGCAAAATATATCGTTACAAGAAGAATAGATATCTGAGAATAAAAAAGATCACATGGCTGACGCTGGGTGAATACGTTTGCTGGGCAAGAAACAAGGCGGGAGAAGTGAGCAGAATAATAAACGTTGTTGTCGTGGGTAAGTGTTTAAATGCCTTCGATCCTTGATCACGACAATGCTATACCTTCAACTTTCTTTTGATTTGTATTTTCTGGTTTTCTTTTTGACAAAGTTCTGGCAAAGACTTGTAGTTTGTGCTTTCCTGTTTTCCTATTATGTTTATTTTTTTTTCAGACTCACGTGTAGACAAGATCACTAAAGGTAAGTGCCAAAAAGGGCACTCCTATAATATCGTGTATTCAGAATCTGGAGTGGCTATCATAACGACATACCTCTCTTTTGTGGACATTCATTGCTCTCTCTAAATGTTCATAGATTTTGCACCCGTTTTTCTATTTCCGCATTTGATAAAAAAGAAACACAAGTACTTTCCTGTTGGAAAACGGTTTTCAATGAACTGTGAAGCTAATGGACGACCTTCACCAAAGGTGCAATGGTACAAAAACGGTCAACTTATGTCGTAGATGCCGGATGGAAAAAACCCTCTAGCGAACGATACACAAGTATTAATATTTCACGATGTAAATCCAAAGACGACGGATCTTACCGTTGTTTTATGGAACAGAGTGGGAAATATCTCAACAACATACACAGTACTAGCAAAGGTAGTTACTCAAAAACGTTCGTTTTATGCTTTTCCTTTCAGATAGGCCGTGACCATGAAACCAAATTGTTTTGTTTCGTGATACACATCTGAGAAATGGAAAATTTTTACAATTTTGTACTTTTCCTCTTAGCATACACCCATAAAAAAATTCCCAAGAAAACTATGCGCCCAAACTAGAATAATTGCTTTTCAAATCTTTAAAATTGCTGGTTGATCGTTAGACGCCATCTTCGATTTTTGAATTGTGGTTGATGGAATTTAGTGAAATTCACTCTCCTCAGTCCTTCTATGAATAATTACAGCCTGAAATTGCAAAATTTGAGGGTGCTTTGGGCAGCATGCAGGATAGCACACTTTCTTTAATGACCATTATACAAAATAAAGGCGCATGAGTTTATTTGAATGCTAAATTTCTGGGTTGAATTACTTTCTAAGTTACTGATAGAAATTAAATCTTGCAGATAACATCAACAAGGCATTTTTCACGTTTCTTAATTTATGTAGTAAAATGGACCTGTTTTTTTACACTCTTTTCCGAATATTAATTGACTTATTTACAAAGCATATAACATCGGTATCTAGAGACTTTCACCAATAAAATTGCTATGTCAAATGCTTTAATATATATCAATTCTTTCTTTAATTTTCTTCCTATTTTTTTACAAATCGCTTACAAAAAGCATGCTAAAATCAATTTTTCAGAAGTCTTCATAACAAAGCCTCTAATTACGCATATGAAGAACATCACTGCATAAGAAGGTGACAACGTGAAGGTAACTTGTAAAGCTTTTAGCGATAGTCTGCCGCACTTTCAGTGGGCTGTCGTCGAAGGAGAAAATGCAACTGTACGTGTCCTGGATCCCAACTTGAGCGAAGACGAATGTATATGGAAAGGTGGAGATGAACGATATCATGGTGTGCATATTCTCTTCATTAACGTAACCAGAAAAGACGAATGGTACTATTATTGTGTCGTTGGCGATAACCTGGGTTATGATTCTACCTCCACGTTTTACCAAGACCTATGACGCCAGTCTCCATGTCAGATGAGTGCGTTTTTTATGTTTTATTTTTCGCTCATATAAAACCATTGGCGCAGTTTCGCAACCATTGCATGAGCTTATTGTCTAGTCCAGGGGTCTCGAAACTACGGCCCGCGGGCCAGATGCGGCCTCTAAATCTGGCCCGCAGAGACACTTAAGAAGCCAATTTCACCACTCACATTGAGAAAACTGAACAGACTAATAGTTATTTTGTTATGATACTACTCTTGGTTGAAATTTAACCTTCAAATTTTGAATAAATATTTTCTTAACTAATGAAGCTTGTGTAATGTACTTCGTTTTATTAAAATATTCGCTCTTTCACCTGCGGTATACGGTTCGTCGGCCCTCAACATGCTGAATGAAAGTTCATGTGGCCCTCTGGCTGTAAAGTTTGGAGATCCCTGGTCTAGTCGAATGGTTTCATTAGTTTTATTTCGACTGTTAATCAAGTGACTAGCTGAATTTAACTGCGATATGAATAAATCTTTTTGTTTTTTTAAAATTTCGCAGCGAGCAGAATCCTAGCTTTTCCTGTAATCTGAGTGGCTGTAGCAGCCATCGGGATTTTGCGATATTTGATCGCGGTCCGAAATTTTACGATATCTGACTGCTGTCCGAAATCCTCTTGCTAATACTTGAGCGAAGACTTTTTCTGTTTTGTTTGGTTTTGTTTTACTCCGAAAGGAAATTATCAGCCATCTTTTGATTATAATAATCTATTTTAGGTGAATTTTGAGTTTGCTCAAGTAAAATGAAGAGCAAAGTTTTCATTGTTTATTTTAGCAAAAGTATATACGTTATTTAGATTTGCTCGGATGGAAAAATATTTCCCCTCGGTCTCAAAAATATCTCTCAGCCTGCGGCCACGGGCTTTTTTTGAGACCTCGGGAAAATATTTTCCCATCCGAACCTCCCAGCCGGTAAATAAAATATAATTATATCTAACACTCTGACACCAATCAACGCATTGTATGTTTTCACAAGGAGCAACAAAATTCTGAAAAACTACAATGATTTTACGAATAGCGAAAAACTTTTCCACGTTGTCTGGGCAACTGCTATTTTAGAGATTTTACTTTATTTGAAATTTTAAGAGCAATGGATTTTAATCTCACTTCCACGATTATTTCCATAAAAAAGGTGTTATCATTGACGCGTGATCTACATATGACACGTGATTTTCTGACAAAGACTGTTTGACTGTAGCTATTTTCAAAAACAAGGTTTGCAACTATTTGTTTACACACATTTTTTTACAGCAAACCAGACTTTTCCAGCACCATCAGCATGCTCCAGCAACAACCAGTTGAGAAGGACGAATCAGTTCAGAGTTCAAGAATTTCCCTTTACATTGTTGTATCCGTGGCTACCATCGTTCGTGTCATAGGCTCAATTATTGCCTACTTATTAATATTCAAATGCAAGAAACACAAGAAACGCGTGTTTAGCGTTGCCGGCTATCGCCCTCGAAATTATCCACGAAAGGGGAGAGACCTGCTGAGCTCTACTTCATCATCTGTGTCGACTAGCTCGACGAATCCGCTGTTGAACAATCAGCGTTTTCGAAGACATGACTCGGCTTTGTCAGACGTAAGTGTCATTCCTGATGATTTTGAATGTCTACTGAATGTTGAGAATACCTACTAGCTACATGCTTACACGCATAAACTATGCTTCGTTGATTTACTTTCATTAAATTCTCAGGACCGCTACTGGTGGTTGTCGAATACGCACCTTTCGGCATTTTACGAGAATATCTTCTTGAAAGAAGACTTGACCGAAACGGAGAGACCATTCCAATAGAAGGAGAAGAAAAGTTGTGCTTTAGGGATTTCGTCTCCTTCAGTTATCAAATTGCTCGTGGAATGGAATATTTGTCAGGAAGAAAGGTAGCTTTAGATTGAACTATATCACTGTACAGCTATATAAGCATTGGTGTGATGATTTATCCTTACACCACCAATAGTTTTGTAGTGTATTCATCGCGATCTTGCTGCCAGGAATATTTTAGTTGGTGAAGATAGAGTAATGAAAATTGCAGACTTTGGTTTAGCTCGCGACATTCATCAGATTGACTATTACCGCAAAACAACTGACGTATGTATTCTGTGAAATTGTGCCATTAATCCTGATAAATAATTTTTAAGAATATGAAAACATTTTTTGTCTTCATGGATTTTATTGTTTTCGTAAAGAAACTTCCTTGTATATGTATATTATAGTAAATTTTCTATTTTTGTGCCTGAACTTCGAGTGGAAATATTTTTGTTTGATATCATTGTATTATAAGACATTTATAATTACTTTGAACTTCACACTTTTTGTACTGCAGAGGAATGTCTTGTAAGTTATTTCTTAAAGTTTTCACACGGAATATCAATGAATGGAAAATGGCGATTTTGATGGAATAAAAGTGTAGGGTAAGGCAGCGTGCTAAAACGTTTATGCATGTTTTACAACAGTGGAATGAACATGAGCGAAAAGACTTTAGTTTCTCTTACTAAAATGTTTACAAGAACAAAGACATCGTGGAATTTTTATTCAATTCTTCATTTGTTCTTCTTTGATTTGAATATTTTTTAAGTTTACGTTTATGCGGATGCTTATGTCATGTCCTTTAGAAATCAGCCAATAGTGAAATATTAATGCCTGATGATATTGTTGTGCAGATTTCACTGTTACAATTTACGTTAAATTTCCAAAAACAATAACTTGAATGCTAGTTGCAACATACATATATAGTTTATAGCCAAATGAAATGAGATTCACTTTCTCACGTAGAAATTGACGTATGAAAAATATCTGTAGTCGCAGCCTAATGACAGAGCATGAGAAAATACAACAATAGATTAAATGCTAAATATATGTTCTACTTCATAGATCATACACTCATGCTTTGGCGAACGAGCTTACAGTTCACCGTTTTCAAATTATTTCTGTATGAAAACATGAACACTGCTAAAAGTAGATACCTTGTTCTAGCTGCGTGTGCGGAAGCTATGGTGTTGTGAAAAGTAATATTTCACGGAATTCAAAAATACGAGTTGGTCGATATTTACAACTTGCCGGCAGGATTGAGAAATTTTTCATGTATATTATTAATAAGTAATAGCATGGTTTCTCGTGCAATTTCGATAGTCTTTGAAAACTCACTCGTGCATGTTTTCCCGAATTGCACTCGAAATCATGCTATGACATATACGAATCATACCTGAGTGGCAAATCGAAGTGAACATAGGGTTTCCTGGAAAGAGTCCTCGCGAGGAGAAACATTCACGAACATCAAACTGAAATATGAATGTATTATTTACATACACTAATTATCACAACTAACACATGTGAATACTTCATGTCATCTACAATGACGTGTGTGCATTGATGAAAATCTGATACACATATATTCAGTAATACCAACCTTTTACTGTTACCACCAAGAGAGTTTTGCAACAAATGAGTTAATTTCGAGGTTCTATAAGGCACGTGACTAGCCTAAAATGTATTATAATTTATTTGACTATCATCTCTACACAGTATAGCTACGTATGATTGAGTAAAGTTAAAACAGACGCAAACATTTATTTTCTGGAATAAATAATCTAAACATGCAATTTTTTATTGTTGGAATTTCAAAGAACGGTCTATTGTTGCAGATGTATGTATTTTTCTTATATTTATGTCATGTTTAAAAATCGCATTGTGCACAGCGTTAATAGAATACAAAAATCTATTTTGAAGCCTTTCCGAAAAAACCCTCAAAAGCATGTTCTTTGGCAAATGATTTACTGGAGCAAATATATTGCCTTTCTAAAAATTCAACTTTTCCACTTTGCTATTCTACCTATTCAAATAGAAGAACAGTTGTCACAGATTCTTTTAAGGGGATACACTAGCTGTTTGTATAAATCAACTCGAAAAAGCATTTCATGTGGCTTGCTTGTAATTTCTATGAACAATTTTAGTTTTCTCATCTGATATGCGTGTTTTGGATGATCAGAAGGGGCCCGAGAGTCAACTATAAGTTTGTAAATGATGATCGTCCAGGTTAATAAAGTCCTGAGAAGGACTGTTTTTGTTGTTGTTGACTGACGTTTCGACAACCTTAGCGGTAGTCATCTTCAGAGTCAAAAGAGGAGTAAACGTCAGGTTAGCCGTATTTGTTGTCTGGTTCTTACGTCATTGTATTGTGTGTGCAGGAAATGTGTATTGTCATTGTGGATTAGTGTGAAGTGAAATATTTTATTTTTAGTTGTGATGTGTGATATAGGTGTGACGTTTTTAGTTGTAATGTGTGGGTGTCAATTGTGTATTGTCATTGCGAATTAGTTTGAAGTGTGATGTTTTTTAGTTGATCGTTTGTTTGTATTGTGAATAAGTCGTTTGTAAGGTGCCAGTAATTGCTGTGATCTGTTCAGGGGGGTTTGTTCCAAGTTGGTGTACCAACTTTCTAATGTAAGCCGTTGTCTATAGTCAGTACTGTAAGTGATGCATTTTGCCGAGTCCCAGTCAATGTTGTGTTTTGTGATTCGGTGATGTTCGGCAATGTGATTAGTTTTGTCTTGTTTCTTAGTAGCTCGTTTGTGCTCAGTAAGTCTTATGTTTAAGTTCCTGCCAGTTTCCCCGATATAGGAGGCGTGGCAGTCAGAGCAGTTTATTTTGTAAACTGCACCTTGTCGTTCGTTGGGTTGTTCTTTGTCCTTTATGTTCGTTAGTACTTGTCGTAACGTTGTGATTGGTTTATGTGCGACACGTATGTTGTATGGTCGTAAGATACGCGAGATATTCTCAGACGTACCTTTGATGTAAGGTATCGTTGCTGTTGTCACTGAGTTGTTCGTTTCGTTGGGTTCGTTGGGTTTGTACGTGTTGGGTTTGATAAAGTCAGAGTTATAGTTGTTTTTGTCGAAAACACGTTTGAGATAGTTGTTTTCGTATTGTAAAGCGTCCTGTGAATCACATATGATTTGTGCACGTCTTGTTAATGTTCTGATTGTGTTCATATGATTTTCTTGTTAATGTTCTGATTGTTAATGTTCTGACATGTGATTTGTGCACGTCTTGTTAATGTTCTGATTGTGTTCATATGATTTGTGCACGTCTTGTTAATGTTCTGATTGTTAATGTTCTGACATGTGATTTGTGCACGTCTTGTTAATGTTCTGATTGTGTTCATATGATTGTGTTCATATGATATTTAGCAAAACGTAACATGGCGCATGCGTACTTATGAATTTGATGGTCAATAGGCGCAAGCACGCATGCGCCATGTTACGTTTTGCTACCATACCTTACGATACGTAGCTAGTGGAAAACAGGCATAAGTCAGGTGTTTTTATTGCCGATTTGATTTTATGACTTACCCATGGATTAGAAATGCTGCCTAAAAACATTCGTCTTTGCGAACTTCCTCGCCTTAGCATTTCATTTAGAACTGTGAAATTTCCTTAGATAGAGATGCGTGAATATAATCTGTAGGTTTTTGTAGGCGGATTGTTAAACTTTTCCGTGTCTGTTTTTCAATAAATTTAATTCAAAGTGATCTGAACCCTCTGGATCAACGATTTAAAAACGATACTTTCACTTCATTCAGTGCTTGCTTTGCAAAAACATAAACGAAATTATGACGAAGAAATTAGTTTGCTGTTGATTTTAAGAAGCGCGATTTCTTTGTCGCACTCCAAAAGTACGTATGAGAGTTAGGGAACATTTAGAGTCCGTTGGGTCTTACTGATTTAAATGCTGAAAAGTCGTCTCGTGTTCTACGTATAAATATACTTTTGTGTCCTCGTTGACAAAGCTTTTCTTCAGGCTGCAGCATTGAGTAAAAATTGCAAAATCGACTAAATGAAAAGACAGAAGTTGAGGAAGAGTTAAGAGGCGAAATCGAGAGGCTGTTATCGGAAAAAGATTTAATTGATCGTTAAAGAGAAGAGCTTAAGTTTAAACTGGAACTATCGCAAAATGAAGTGAAAACTTTAAAATTGAAGATGTCGACCTTTTCATCCAAACTGCTTGGTGTAAACACTGAGTTAGATGCTAGTAAGGTACGGACGTATGTTGTAAAAAAAAAATATATCGTAATAAAGTAAATGGTTTGAACCGTAAATGTAAGTGTTTGAAAAGTAAAAGGTTTGAACACAAAAAAAAAACAGATCATCGTAAAGCATAATCAAACTCGCCTCGTTTGTTTATTGTATTTATTGTGTAAAAATTCTCAGTGTCACACGGCGTGTATATCTTTAGAGACATAATATGTTTATGCGTGTATTGCTGTGCAGGTAGCCGCACAAATATTGATTTATACAAACAGCCAGTGTATCACCTTAAAAGAATCTGTGACAACTGTTCTTCTATTTGAATAGGTAGAATAGCAAAGTGGAAAAGTCGAATTTTTAGAAAGGCAATATATTTGCTCCAGTAAATCATTTGCCAAAGAACATGATTTTGAGGGGTTTTTCGGAAAGGCTTCAAATGCAAATTGTACAAAGCTTGTAAAACCGGTTGCTAATTTTCTCTTCCAAAATTCTCTTCTTTTCCCAATACTGCTATACAAAGTACTATCTTTCAAAAGAACTTAACACTACATATCATGAATATATGAGTACGAGCCTCTTCCCCCAGTTAACAATCGTTCTACGCCGATGCTCGTCCAGTTACTCAGCATAAACCGTTACACTCGCTCTTTAACACTGGTTTGCGCATGCATCGTACTGTATCTTGTACAACTTCCATTTGTAACTGTTGACTCGTAGAATTCTTTCTAATTTGCGTTATAATGTTCTACGTTGCGTACAATACACTGCTGTGTTGCATCTTGTTTGTAATTAATAAAATTCTTTACATTCACTTGTCATCTAAATATACTAGGGAGCTTTAGCACGACTACGGCTACGTGTTTTTGTTGTCGCAACAATGTTTTTGCGCCAAAATGACGTAAGTCGTACTCGTAGTCTTTGCTAAAGCTCCCTATTATTTTGTAACGTACGTCATTTTAGGTAAGTGAGCTTGTCATGGCATATTTACTCTTTAAGAAACATGATTACAATGAGTGTGGTCTCACTCACGTTTTGCTTTTGTTTATTGTTATTTTTTATCTATATTGTAAAATTTTCATACTCTAGGTGTCCAGTTTACTTCGAAAGGCTTACGAAAATCGTTCTGTGGCCGATACAAACTGTAACGATCGCTCGTCGAGAAGTCACTCTGTCTTTCAACTAAAACTCCTCGGGAGTAATGAGATTACTGGGGAACTAAGTCAAGGCAGGATTATGCATATTTATGTTTTTGTTTTCAGTTTAAGAATTTTTGAAATAGTTCGTCATATTAGAATATGGATGTTGACTATCGACTTAGTTCTATATGATTAGTCCAGCTTTTATTCTGCTTTAACACGTTTCCACGCGGTGAAACAGGGACTGCGCAACGAAATCAAATCTGGAGGGGGGTTGGTTAAAGCCTGTTTTCCACTAGGCACGTGTCGTAACCTATCATAGCATGCGCCCTGTTACGTTTTGCTACGATACGTTACGACACGTAGCTATTGGAAAACAGGCTTAAGACATATATTAACTAAATATACTACGTCTTACCTTGCCTTTAATTTAGCTAAAATGTATAAATGTTAGCAAAAACTTTATCTGGGGAAAAAGTGGGGTGGGGGTGGTGTGTGCTCTAGTCCCCACACTCTTTGGCGCCGTGGCTGTAAACGTCTCCTCGATATTTATTATATATTCAGTAGCAAAAGAATCTGCAAAATTGTTATCTATTGTTTTGCGATGACGATGAGCTAAATTTTTTCAGGGGTATTGAGTTTGGTTGATCTGGTGGGTTCTGAAAGAATAAGTCAATCCGGATCAACAGGATTAAGACTTAAGAAAGCTATACACATAAACTAGAGCCTCACACATTTGGGTATAGTCTTCAACTTCTTGGCTAAGAAGGTAAGCATATACTTACCTTATGATGGATGAACTTTAATTCATTGACAGGAGATATGATTTTTGTATTTTATTGATTAACGCTGTGCACAATGCGATTTTTAAACATTACATAAATATAAGAAAAATATACACATCTGCAACAATAGACCGTTCTTTGCAATTCCAACAATAAAAAGTTGCATGTTTAGATTATTTATTCCAGAAAATAAATGTTTGCGTCTGTTTTTAAATTTACTCAATCATACGTAGCTATACTGTGTAGAGAGATGATAGTCAAATAAATTATAATACATTTTAGGCTAGTCACGTGCCTTATAGAACCTCGAAATTAACTCATTTGTTGCAAAACTCTCTTGGTGGTAACAGTAAAAGGTTGGTATTACTGAATATATGTGTATCAGATTTTCATCAATGCACACACGTCATTGTAGATGACATGAAGTATTAACATGTGTTAGTTGTGATAATTAGTGTATGTAAATAATACATTCATATTTCAGTTTGATGTTCGTGAATGTTTCTCCTCGCGAGGACTCTTTCCAGGAAACCCTATGTTCACTTCGATTTGCCACTCAGGTATGATTCGTATATGTCATAGCATGATTTCGAGTGCAATTCGGGGAAAACATGCACGAGTGAGTTTTTCAAAGACTATCGAAATTGCACGAGTCTGAAGGACGAGTGCCTGTTTTTCCCAAATTGCACGAGAAACCATGCTATTACTTATTAATAATATACATGAAAAAAATTTCTCAATCCTGCCGGCAAGTTGTAAATATCGACCAACTCGTATTTTTGAATTCCGTGAAATATTACTTTTCACAACACCATAGCTTCCGCACACGCAGCTAGAACAAGGTATCTACTTTTAGCAGTGTTCATGTTTTCATACAGAAATAATTTGAAAACGGTGAACTGTAAGCTCGTTCGCCAAAGCATGAGTGTATGATCTATGAAGTAGAACATATATTTAGCATTTAATCTATTGTTGTATTTTCTCATGCTCTGTCATTAGGCTGCGACTACAGATATTTTTCATACGTCAATTTCTACGTGAGAAAGTGAATCTCATTTCATTTGGTTATAAACTATATATGTATGTTGCAACTAGCATTCAAGTTATTGTTTTTGGCATATTAACGTAAATTGTAACAGTGAAATCTGCACAACAATATCATCAGGCATTAATATTTCACTATTGGCTGATTTCTAAAGGACATGACATAAGCATCCGCATAAACGTAAACTTAAAAAATATTTAACTCAAAGAAGAACAAATGAAGAATTGAATAAAAATTCCACGATGTCTTTGTTCTTGTAAACATTTTAGTAAGAGAAACTAAAGTCTTTTCGCTCATGTTCATTTCACTGTTGTAAAACATGCATAAACGTTTTAGCACGCTGCCTTACTCTACACTTTTATTCCATCAAAATCGCCATTTTCCATTCATTGATATTCCGTGTGAAAACTTTAAGAAATAACTTACAAGAAATTCCTCTGCAGTACAAAAAGTGTTAAGTTCAAAGTAATTATAAATGTCTTATAATACAATCAAACAAAAATATTTCCACTCGAAGTTCAGGCACAAAAATAGAAAATTTACTATAATATACATATACAAGGAAGTTTCTTTACGAAAACAATAAAATCCATGAAGACAAAAAATGTTTTCATATTCTTAAAAATTATTTATCAGGATTAATGGCACAATTTCACAGAATACATACGTCAGTTGTTTTGCGGTAATAGTCAATCTGATGAATGTCGCGAGCTAAACCAAAGTCTGCAATTTTCATTACTCTATCTTCACCAACTAAAATATTCCTGGCAGCAAGATCGCGATGAATACACTACAAAACTATTGGTGGTGTAAGGATAAATCATCACACCAATGCTTATATAGCTGTACAGTGATATAGTTCAATCTAAAGCTACCTTTCTTCCTGACAAATATTACATTCCACGAGCAATTTGATAACTGAAGGAGACGAAATCCCTAAAGCACAACTTTTCTTCTCCTTCTATTGGAATGGTCTCTCCGTTTCGGTCAAGTCTTCTTTCACGAAGATATTCTCGTAAATTGCCGAAAGGTGCGTATTCGACAACCACCAGTAGCGGTCCTGAGAATTTAATGAAAGTAAATCAACGAAGCATGTAGCTGGTAGGTATTCTCAACATTCAGTAGACTTTCAAAATCATCAGGAATGACACTTACGTCTGACAAAGCCGAGTCATGTCTTCGAAAACGCTGATTGTTCAACAGCGGATTCGTCGAGCTAGTCGACACAGATGATGAAGTAGAGCTCAGCAGGTCTCTCCCCTTTCGTGGATAATTTCGAGGGCGATAGCCGGCAACGCTAAACACGCGTTTCTTGTGTTTCTTGCATTTGAATATTAATAAGTAGGCAATAATTGAGCCTATGACACGAACGATGGTAGCCACGGATACAACAATGTAAAGGGAAATTCTTGAACTCTGAACTGATTCGTCCTTCTCAACTGGTTGTTGCTGGAGCATGCTGATGGTGCTGGAAAAAGTCTGGTTTGCTGTAAAAAGAAATGTGTGTAAACAAATAGTTGCAAACCTTGTTTTTGAAAATAGCTACAGTCAAACAGTCTTTGTCAGAAAATCACGTGTCATATGTAGATCACGCGTCAATGATAACACCTTTTATGGAAATAATCGTGGAAGTGAGATTAAAATCCATTGCTCTTAAAATTTCAAATAAAGTAAAATCTCTAAAATAGCAGTTGCCCAGACAACGTGGAAAAGTTTTTCGCTATTCGTAAAATCATTGTAGTTTTTCAGAGTTTTGTTGCTCCTTGTGAAAACATACAATGCGTTGATTGGTGTCAGAGTGTTAGATATAATTATATGTTATTTACCGGCTGGGAGGTTCGGATGGAAAAATATTTTCCCGAGGTCTCAAAAAAACCCGTGGCCGCAGGCTGAGAGATATTTCTGAGACCGAGGGGAAATATTTTTCCATCCGAGCAAATCTAAATAACGTATATATTTTTGCTAAAATAAACAATGAAAACTTTGCTCTTCATTTTACTTGAGGAAACTCAAAATTCACCTAAAATAGATTATTATAATCAAAAGATGGCTGATAATTTCCTTTCGGAGTAAAACAAAACCAAACAAAACAGAAAAAGTCTTCGCTCAAGTATTAGCAAGAGGATTCCGGACAGCAGTCAGATATCGTAAAATTTCGGACCGCGATCAAATATCGCAAAATCCCGATGGCTGCTACAGCCACTCAGATTACAGGAAAAGCTAGGATTCTGCTCGCTGCGAATTTTTAAAAAAACAAATGGATTTATCCATATCGCAGTTAAATTCAGCTAGTCACTTGATTAACAGTCGAAATAAAACTAATGAAACCATTCGACTAGACCAGGGATCTCCAAACTTTACAGCCAGAGGGCCACATGAACTTTCATTCAGCATGTTGAGGGCCGACAAACCGTATACCGCAGGTTAAAGAGCGAATATTTTAATAAAACGAAGTACATTACACAAGCTTTATTAGTTAAGAAAATATTTATTCAAAATTTGAAGGTTAAATTTCAACCAAGAGTAGTATCATAACAAAATAACTATTAGTCTGTTCAGTTTTCTCAATGTGAGTGGTGAAATTGGCTTCTTAAGTGTCTCTGCGGGCCGGATTTAGAGGCCGCATCTGGCCCGCGGGCCGTAGTTTCGAGACCCCTGGACTAGACAATAAGCTCATGCAATGGTTGCGAAACTGCGCCAATGGTTTTATATGAGCGAAAAATAAAACATAAAAACGCACTCACCTGACATGGAGACTGGCGTCATGGGTCTTGGTAAAACGTGGAGGTAGAATCTTGTTTTATCATAACCCAGGTTATCGCCAACGACACAATAATAGCACCATTCGTCTTTTCTGGTTACGTTAATGAAGAGAATATGCACACCATGATATCGTTCATCTCCACCTTTCCATATACATTCGTCTTCGCTCAAGTTGGGATCCAGGACACGTACAGTTGCATTTTCTCCTTCGACGACAGCCCACTGAAAGTGCAGCAGACTATCGCTAAAAGCTTTACAAGTTGCCTTCACGTTGTCACCTTCTTATGCAGTGATGTTCTTCATATGCGTAATTAGAGGCTTTGTTATGAAGACTTCTGAAAAATCGATTTTAGCATGCTTTTTGTAAGCGATTTTTAAAAAAATAGGAAGAAAATTAAAGAAAGAATTGATATATCTTAAAGCATTTGACATAGCAATTTTATTCGCGAAAGTCTCTAGATACCGATGTTATATGCTTTATAAATAAGTCAATTAATATTCGAAAAAGAGTGTAAAAAACAGGTCCATTTTACTACATAAATTAAGAAACGTGAAAAATGCCTTGTTGATGTTATCTGCAAGATTTAATTTCTATCAGTAACTTAGAAAGTAATTCAACCCAGAAATTTAGCATTCAAATAAACTCATGCGCCTTTATTTTGTATAATGGTCACTAAAGAAAGTGTGCTATCCTGCATGCTGCCCAAAGTACCCCCAAATTTTGCAATTTCAGGCTGTAATTATTTATAGAAGGACTGAGGAGAGTGAATTTCACTAAATTCCATCAATCACAATTCAAAAATCGAAGATGGCGTCCAAAGATCAACCAGCAATTTTAAAGATTTGAAAAGCAATTATTCGAGTTTGGGCGCATAGTTTTCTTGGGAATTTTTTTATGGGTGTATGCTAAGAGGAAAAGTACAAAATTGTAAAAATTTTCCATTTCTCAGATGTGTATCACGAAACAAAACAATTTGGTTTCATGGTCACGGCCTATCTGAAAGGAAAAGCATAAAACGAACGTTTTTGAGTAACTACCTTTGCTAGTACTGTGTATGTTGTTGAGATATTTCCCACTCTGTTCCATAAAAACAACGGTAAGATCCGTCGTCTTTGGATTTACATCGTGAAATATTAATACTTGTGTATCGTTCGCTAGAGGGTTTTTTCCATCCGGCATCTACGACATAAGTTGACCGTTTTTGTACCATTGCACCTTTGGTGAAGGTCGTCCATTAGCTTCACAGTTCATTGAAAACCGTTTTCCAACAGGAAAGTACTTGTGTTTCTTTTTTATCAAATGCGGAAATAGAAAAACGGGTGCAAAATCTATGAATATTTAGAGAGAGCAATGAATGTCCACAAAAAAGAGGTATGTCGTTATGATAGCCACTCCAGATTCTGAATACTCGATATTATAGGAGTGCCCTTTTTGGCACTTACCTTTAGTGATCTTGTCTACACGTGAGTCTGAAAAAAATAAACATAATAGGACAATAGGAAAGCACAAACTACAAGTCTTTGCCAGAACTTTGTCAAAAAGAAAACCAGAAAATACAAATCAAAAGAAAGTTGAAGGTATAGCATTGTCGTGATCAAGGATCGAAGGCATTTAAACACTTACCCACGACAACAACGTTTATTATTCTGCTCACTTCTCCCGCCTTGTTTCTTGCCCAGCAAACGTATTCACCTAGCGTCAGCCATGTGATCTTTTTTATTCTCAGATATATATTCTTCTGGTAACGATATATTTCTCTATTCGTTATGCGTTTCCCTTCTCGTGTGAACCAGTAGTCGTTGTCCTCAACACTGAGCACGTTACAGAGAATCTTTCCCTTGCGAGACTCGTTTTCAATTTCGACCTTTGTGATGTTCGTTGTGAACAATGGAAGTTTCGTACTATTGGCTTAAATTGTTTTGAAAAAGATCGTCATTTCCACTAATTTCAATAATTCCAATAATAATAAAAAATTCAGTAATACAGAAGGAAAAACCGTCGTAAGATTAGCTGGATTGCAGAATTGAATCGCAAAATTTAGTAATTCATATTAATTTGCTGGTGAATTTATCTGGTATTTTTCTTGGTAATACTTAATGACATTAATTATTCATAAAATATATTATGTTCATGTTGTTTAATATTCGCATAATTTAAACATCACACGAATGTTTATCACTTACAAATCATTTTCATGTACGGCCCAAACATATCTTCTTCATAGGTCATTTCAGTGTCAGTTTCATTACTGCGATCAGATGAAGCCATATCATAGCTGCTGCTTGTCGAAATATTTTTAAGTGACGTAAATTTATCAAACAAATGATTTTTATTGTCTCTCAATGAAATACGAAGTTTCAAATCTTGAGGACTTCGTACGTCGAACTAAATATAACAAAGATGGTGATTGTAGATACATGAATAATGAATTCAATAATAGAACATGCAGTAAATAGATAATGCTGCGGTATAGTCAATACATTGCAAACATATTTGTATTTTATTAAATCTATATTTGACACATCCTTAACATGACAATTTTCGTTCTCCTCATTTATGTATACAGAAAAAAATATTTTCATTAAAAGTTACAAAGACATTTATGTTTCTCTAGAGATACCAAACAAATGAACAATTACTAATTATACGTAACAAATACCTCTTTATAAGGACTCTGACAATCCTGTAAACTGAACGTACGATCCGTGATCTCGAGTAGTTGGACATCTGGTTCAGAGTTGAGGGTGGCAGGTATCATGCAGGCAAATCTCAAAGTGATATTAGAGCTCGCTGGATAGTTATTAGTTTCTGATGGATTATTGCCAATTTTAACCACAATATTTTGTTCCCCGAGCTCCTTACAAGTCACGTGATAATAATGTAGAGAGCTTTGTTCACCGAACGGATTTTGTGGTATCACATCAGCTCTTATTGAGATCAGAGCTAACTTCTCAGAGTTCAGTGAAGTACAAAATATATTATAATTAGTTACTAAAGTAATACAATGGATGTGATTAACTTTCTCATAATGTGTAGATCTGATATGAAACCATAAATGACGTGGTTACGTACCTTTCTCATAATGTTTTGATCTATCATGAACCCATGGTTGAGGTCCACCTTGTATGATAAAGTTTTTTGCTGAACCAAGGGTGACAACAGCAATGTCAACAGAATCGAGAGCATAGAAGATAATACATTTATAACGTGACAATAATGGTGTGAGATTTCTCATTTAGGGGATTGAAATTTGACAGTAAAACGAAACAGTAAATAAAATGTTAGAGAAAAGTAGATGAATTTTCCTTACTTTAAGTACTAAGTTCGCAGCTACTGTAACAGTTGCTTTAATATTAATATTTTAATATTGATATCCAGCTGTGACAATGACATATCGTTGACGCAAAGCTTTGAGGCACGCTGATGTACAACCAGGAGTAAAAATATCATCAAACTCATCCAAAATAAACATTTAAACATTAAAATCCTGGGCAGAGATTTGCCAGGCGGAAAGCGAATTTTCAATATGAACATAATAGCCCAACATAAGACTTTTAAAAAAGCCATCACAATAATAAATAAAAGGTTTTTTTATTAATAACGTTTCGTCTTTAATTTAAGACATCTTCAGATTATATGAGATAAATTATATACATAAGGTTTTAAATACGAGCATATACTACAAGGTGTTAAATTACATTAGGAAAGAGGAAGAGAGAATTGAGAAGTCATTAAAATCGGCAGAGTGAGATGTATTTCTTATATGGAAAGAACTGCAGATGGTTGTGGACATAAGGAAGGTTTCTCTGTTAAGGGAGAGATTCCCAAGTGTTCCTATATCCTGGTGTGTAAATGACGCCAGTGAAAGTGTAGACAGAAGTAAGATAATGCTCCTAAGAAAATCATGTACTTCTGTCTCCGATTCAATGACATACACTGTCTTTAGATTCGCACTCAAATCACTCGACTCTGCAATGCTGCCTTTCCTCATATCAACGTTCGCTTTGTTTTTCGTTCTTCCAGGCGTCTCTCCTCTTTCTTTCCTTTTAAAGATAGGGTTCCCAAGCTCCTGAGATCTGGTATTGTATACTTATTTAGGTGTCGATGCTGCTTTGCATCGTATGTGGGTCAAACCACGCGTCATTTACACACCAGAATATCGGAACACTTGGGAATCTCTCCATTAACAGAGAAACCTTCCTTATGTCCACCACCATCTGCAGTTCTTTCCATATAAGAAATACATCTCACTCTGCTAATTTTAATGACTTCTCAATTCTCTCTTCCTACTCCCACAATTATGATCTTATGATTCATGAAAGCCTTTTTATATCCAAACTTAAACCCTCTCTTAACACCCAAGGCAACTCAATCCCCCTTCACCTTCTTTAATATACCGCCATTCTCCCTTAATTCCGTCATCTAAACTTCCTACTTCCCTCACATGTAATTTAACAACCTGTAATATATGCTTGTATTTAAAACCTTACGTATATAATTTATCTCATATAATCTAAAGATGTCTTAAGTTAAAGATCATTGAAATTAGTCATGGCGTACAGACGTGTTTTTGCAGTCGTGCTTCAATTGACTTTTATCAGCGTTTTACTTGGCCAATTTACTTCAATTACACCTGAATTCGATCGCTCTACAGTCAGATTCTTCATTGGGAAGGAAATATCTGCTGCACCTACGTTCGGCTGTAAGTCAAAGCCTTCGAAATGCACACCTTGCGATTTGAATTTGAAGCTACAGGCGTTGTTGCGGTTCGTCAAACTTGGCCAATTTTGTCTGTGTATTCTTCTATCTGGCGATATCGCTGTCAATCCAGGACCTAATAACCTTCAACCTCCTGTAGGCTTCAGAGGCTTATCAGTCTGCCACTGGAACATCCAAAGACTGACTGACACCAAATTGGAAGAAATATCTCTAATGCTCACTTCGAACAACAACAGTGCTGCTAAACTCGACGTCTTAATTCTCACTGAGACGTTCGGATCTAGTAAAATTCCAGACAGCTATTACATGATACCCGGCTACACATTACACAGAAAAGATCGAATCGGGAAGAAAGGTGGCGGAATAATTGCGCATGTAAATGATAAAGTTATGGCTTCACGTCGAAGAGATTTGGAACTGGATGATCTTGAAACTCTTTGGCTTCAAATTTGTCCTCATAAATCAAAGAGACCGATTTTGATATCTGGTGTTTACCGTCCACCTTCAGCCAACAAAGATTATAATGAGAGTTTGGGTAAAAATATTGAAAATGCCCATCTCCAAAACAATGAATTGATTATTCTGGGAGACTTCAATTTAGATTATATTGATTTCAACTGTTATTCAAAACATTGTCTCGCAAAGGCACTGAACAGTCTTGGATTAACGCAGATGGTAAATAGAGTAACAAGACCTGCCTCTGATGCGTGCTTAGACCATATTTATTCTAGTCATCCTGCTAGAATTAGAGAAGTAGCCATAGGTAAATCTGGACTTTCCGATCACCTGCCGGTCACTATCTTGAGGTGCTACAAAACCATGGATGCACAACGTAAACAACATTCCAAAATCAAATACAGAAATATCGACAAAATCAACAAAGAGTGCTTTCTGCGAGACTTAAGAGAAGCCCCTTGGGATATCTCCTTTGTTTTTCGAGATGCCGATAGCATTGTTGAATCTTGGTACAAAATCTTTAATGACATTCTTGATAATCACGCACCTTTAAAGTTCAAGAGTGTTAAGAAAATCAATCAGCCGAAATGGTTCACTAATGATCTATACAACGAAATAAATAAACGCGATAATCTTCTAAAAAGGGCCAGGAGAACACAAAATGAACACGATTGGTCTGCTTTTAAACTGATTAAAAACAAAGTGACGAGGAAACTAAGAAATGCGAAGGAACAGTACTTTAAATCTCAGTTCAGTAAAAATCAAAAATGTCCAAAGAAACTTTGGTCTTTAATTAAAGACCTATCTAAAGATACAAGGAATAATGACGACTCCGTCCCTATTGCTGACGAAAACAACAACCTGATAAAGAATGACCATTCAATCCCTGAACGCTTTAACCGCTTCTTCGCTGATGTATATAAACGTCTTATAAAAGCGACACCTATACTTCATTATGATGCTCTTCCTGGTCCACCAGACAAATCTAACTGTCAAATTGAGAATCTTATTCCGCAAATAACTCCTTGTGAGGTTTAACGATTATCTTCTAAGTATACCTACACACAAAGCCACGGGAATTGATGGGCTTGGTGTCAGAGTTCTAAGGATTGCAGCTCCTGAAATATCATGCTCCATAGCTAAAATTATAAATCACTGTATTGAAACTTGTACATTTCCCTCACAATGGAAAATAGCAAAGGTTAAACCACTATTCAAGAATCAAGGAAACAAGCAAGATATTCAAAACTATCGTCCTATTAGCATTTTGCCTATTCTTTCTAAAGTCTTTGAAAGACACATCCTCAATGCAATGAACACCTACTTAACAGAAAACGCACTTTTATACCGCTTCCAATCAGGGTTCCGTAAAAACCACTCCACGGATACTGCTTTGTTGTTTCTTCTGGACCAAGTCCTTCTTGACCTTGATAAAAACAATGTCAGCGGCTTAGTTTTTGTGGACTATAGCAAGGCATTCGACTTGATCAATCATGACATTCTCCTAGTAAAGTTAAGATCATATGGATTTCCAGATAATGTTGTAAAGCTATTGCAGAGCTATCTACTCAATCGCAAACAGTGTGTCACTGTAAATAACTCGACTTCGTCACAACTTATGCTAACCAATGGAGTTCCTCAAGGTAGCATATTAGGACCTCTACTTTTTTTAATTTTCGTCAATGATCTTCCCGAAGCTGTTGGATCGGACTCAACTATTCATGCTTACGCGGATGACACCACATTTAAAGCCAGCGCTAATATCGTTAATGCACCTCTGGAATTGGAACGACGTCTTCAAGAATACATGGATAAATTAAGTAAATGGTCTAGCAAAAATGGGATGGTCCTAAACCCTGTTAAAACAAAAGCATTACTTATCACTGGAAAGAGGCTACATTCATCATTAGTTGATGGCAATCACCTGTCAGTGACCCTTGATGGGGCCGAAATAGAACAAGTAACCTCTTATAAATTGCTTGGAGTAACACTCGATCAAGATCTTACATTTAGTGACCACATTTCTAACCTGAAGGCCAAGCTTTCTCAGCGTATTGGTTTATTAAAAAAGATAAAGAGATACCTTCCAATAAAAGAAAGACTTTTATACTATAACGCCTTGATTAAACCCGTCCTTATGTACGGGAGCATGGTTTGGAATACCTGCGACGTTAAAGAACTCCACTGTCTCCTAAGGTTACAAAAAAGGGCTGCCCGAGTAATTCTTGGAGTAGACCCTTATTCTAGAAGTGTTGTAAACTTTAGTAAACTAGGCTGGTTGCCTTTTTTTGACGAAATAAAACTAAACAAATGTGCCATGATCTTTAAGAGCCTCAAATGCGATGTTCCCATTTATATCAAAGATTTGTTCAAGACGAACAGTTCTGTTCACAATAGGTCCACGAGACATGGCAATTTAAATTTAGTGTGTCCCAAATACCTAAGAAATAACGATGGTGGCAAGGCATTCAGTGTTGACGCAGTTAAGTTATGGAGCAGCCTTCCCCATGATATCAAAAAAAAGCCTAGTATAAATCTATTCAAAACAGCTGTGAAAAAGCATTTTATAAGCTCATATAAAAACCTGGACAACTTTGAAACAATATTAAGCAATAGCACACTACCTAATTTTAATTTTTTATGAATAAATTTTTATCCTTCTGAATATTTTTAATATGTCCTGCTATTTTTATCATAGAATTTTGTAATTATTTATATATTTATTCATTATCAGTTTTTTGTAATCCTGTGTAATCTAGTTAGAGGGCATCAGGTTTGTCAGCTTTTCAGCTGTTACGTGTCCCCCTCTTCAAATAAAGTCCTTATAAAGACGAAACGTTATTAATGAAAAAACCTAATATTTTATTATTGTGATTGCTTTTTTAAAAGTCTTATGTTGGGCTAAAATTTTCATATTGAAAATTGAAACAATAGTAATATTGAGACGATCGTTAAAAAGCGTTACGGTACACTGATGTATCTCCAGGAGTTAGAAAATCATCTACTTTATCTTAAATAAATAGTCATTCAAAATGTACGACTCGAAAATTGTGCTATTTAGATTATATTTTCATTGAACATAACTTTATTCACATCACGTTTCACTCTCAAGATACTGTAGTTTGTGTAATGGACGCTTTACAAAAACGTTTTTTCGTCATATTTCATAATGAAAATTTGACAGAGCAGGTATACTTGCTGTTAACCGAACAGAAGCTTCTTTTTTATTGTGAGGAGTTAATGATATAAAAATTTCCTCATAATTTTGACAAAAAGTTGCCTTGAAACTAAAGGATGTTGGAAACTTTGTACCAACTCATTGTGCAAAATGACGTGGAAAGTTGTGTAAATCGGTTATTAAAAAAACTTTAATATCGCAATATCTACGATATGCATAAACAGTTAAACAAAATACACTGCCATTTTTAAAGTTCTGTTGAACGAAAATATAATTAGAATAGTAAATTTTGGAGTCATATGCCCTTTAAAAATAACATTAGTATCATCAGTCGCCACGTAAACAACAAACCTGATGTTCCAAGTACTTGAAATATTGAAGGATCATTAACAGATATCGTAAGCTTCATTTTGCGACAATCATCAAAAAACAATAAATCGTCGTTTTCTAAAAAAATTATTCATAAGTTAAATAACTTCAATTAATAATCACGCCTAAACTTTTGTACGTAAAGTTTCAATTTTTAGAAGTATTTAAAAAAGGATAAATTATATCTATCTTTAAACATTATTTAATGTTATTAGTGATATCTCTAATATCACTTTGAGATTTGCCTGCATGATACCTGCCACCCTCAACTCTGAACCAGATGTCCAACTACCCGAGATCACGGATCGTGCGCTCAGTTTACAGGATTGTCAGAGTCCTAATAAAGAGGTATTTGTTACGTAAAATTAGCAATTGTTCATTTTTTTGGAAATTGTTCATTTGACAGGAAAGAATGCAGGGAAGAGAGTGAAAGGTGACATTCATATATTGAAAATATTTGACAAAAGGGAAAACAACAAAGGTAGCATCAATGCCTTTTTAGAGTGAACTGTTTTGATGGCATTGTAATATACAAGAGTGATGTCGAAACATTAAATGAAAGCAAGTGGTTGTGTGATACCATAATTGACTTTTTTTTAAGGTAATGTGAAATGATTCAAATCTAACATATAGAAGGAAGCAATAAAAACTTTACAAGCTAACTTAAATTACATGAATGCAATAGGTATTACTGCAAAACGGCAGAAAGAAAAGACAATGGGGAACAATATTATGCCTTTTCTAGTTTTTTCCAACAGAAACTACTCATGAAAGGACACGTGTAAGTGTCCGGTTAAGATTTCACCCTAGATTCTAGAGATAATTACATGTTATAATATTTGCAATTTTTTCAGATCAAAGCGACCATTAGATCTTTCGGGATGCAACTTACATGGAGTGAGGAGATACACACCTAAGAACATGTATCAATATAAAATGATTTTTATACCAGTCTGCGACATGTAAGAATTTTACAAAGAAAATCAGTTTCTATAGTTCAATTCTATGAGATACTTGAGACATGATATATTTTAAAGGACACATTGGTGGCTAGTGGTCTTTGAAGTTTTGACAAGTCATTTATACGTGTTGTGCAGCATGGGTTGGAAGAATAAAACTGTCGCTTCAAACATAAGAAGGTTGTTATTTCTATACATACTGAACTAACAGGTTGCCTCTTTTCATATGTACCGACATGTTTTCTAACTTCATAAACAGCTTTTTAACGTTAAGGTATCTCCAACACATAAAAGAAGAGCAACAATGGCCAGACCACATGGGAAGCATTTCAGAGCCTATTTATGCGGATGTAAGTCGAGTAATTGTTTGACAAGCATAAACACATTGATCTATAAAGTCAATGTATGGATATGTCACAAACGTTGTTATTTAATCACCATTCAGGTTGCAAGGCAAAAAAATGGTCACGATTGCGGCGTATATTTGTTAGAGTTTGCAAGAGTAATAATAAAGGAGGTATTTTGTTATGTAGACATTTGCTGTCGCAAAATACGCAAATAATTTAAAAGCAACATATTCCAGTATGTGACATATAACAGATAATTTTATCATATTTTAGGGATGCATCAACTCATCGATAGAAAATATAAACAGTGAGGGAAGACGTACTCAGCTAAAAAAGCTTCTTCAGTCCCTGTAACAAACAGTCGACCTGTTTACACACAATGAAAAACAGGCGTTATATAAATGGTCAATGCTCGGCACATTTGTTCAATTACTTCTTCATATAAACTCTGATTGTGTCATGAGGTGCAAGAATCGTGGAGTAAATATATATACTTAATAACTAATGAGTACCAGCATTATCCATTGACGTTGAAAAGCTATAATATCGTGCGAGTTATGATTTCAACATTTTAAAATTGATTTCATTCATTTTCATATCCAAAATTTCTCATTATGCTATAAATGCGAAAAATATGAAGCTGTTTGAGGACAAAATGTTACAGCTATACGTTACGCAGACATGTCATAAATATGACGTATTTTCTTTAAAAATGATGAATTTAGAAGAATATTTCAACTGTTACTTAGACTTTTTTTGTTTATTCCAAGGTGTTAGCATTTCGTTTCAACATGGTTCCCAATTAAATAATACTGGTTTTCAAATACTACTTATTTGATAATATTGCTGATTGGAAGAAACGTTTCCCTCTCTGGAACATCCCGTCCAGGATTGCATTTTATTATGCGCAACATGTTTCTGTACCAAATATACAATTTCGAAAATAGCAAAAAGTTGTCATATTCCATGTATGAAACCATTGACGCAATTGGCTTCAATACAGAGTTACACTGCTCTGCAGCTTGGCTGTTGTGCGTTTTTAAAATGGGATATCTATTAATATCATATCCCTCAGAGCAACCTATAAGAGTCAAAGATATGAGTCGTTTCAATTTCGACACACTTAGCATAATAAAATACGAGTTTTATACCAGAATGGTTTCTCCAATGAAACTTGTCGACGATGAATTTGGATTTTTTTAAAAAAGCCGGATTGCGGTTAAGGCAGTACTCGTGTAGTTTGCACGCGTTGTCATAGATCACTAGTTCAGGAGCTAAACATTATAAGTTTATTTGTTTACAATTGGGAGTAACGAAACGCTAACAATTTCACAATTCTCATAAAAGAATGAGAAATACCTCTAAAACTTCAAATTACCTTCAGAAAATCGAGTTCTTAAAATGGTAAAAGGAACATTGGGTGATTCATGATCGGGCATCACTTGAAAGCCGTAATAAATACCTAAAAAACAATAAAAAAATCTCATAATTTTTCAATGAGGAGAGTTTACGGGATGAATTTTCCTGTCATTCTATGATCAAGAACATTAATGCTTCTTTGCCATACCGTGCGGACATAAAATAAGGAATATCCCAGGAATTAAAGACCCATGCTTCTTCTTTGAACGAACGCCTTTGGCACAATCATCTAAATGACCAGCTCTTTTTGTGTCAAGAACATAGTGCCCACGTTCAACAAGAGAAGGCAAAGATGGAAAAAAACCTAACTGACCATCACACTGAACTTGACGAAGGTTGTGGGGCAAACGCTCACACCCGTTTTGGTCAGTAAAGGGACTGGACGCTTTGGCGACCATTTCCCCACACAAAACACGTATGGGGTTTGGCAGCTCTGCAAAATGATTGCAAAGACAAAACAAGAGGGGGACCTGTTCGTGCAAAAGTTGTAAATCAGACAATGGATTGTCCTTTGGATTTGCTCCGTTGACAATTCTGATCAAAAAATCCTTCACCTCTCTCACAGCAGGTACAATTGCACAAACAGGTTTATCTGACGCAAGTGCTTTGAGAAGTCTTATGCAAGGTTCTGGAAACGTGACACCAAAATGTTCCTCTCTAAGGGATACGATTAGCACTTTTAGGCCAGGAGATGAAATCTAAATAAACGAGCAATAGTAAAATAGCCTGTAAAAATAGCTACAACATGTTCTTAGTATATTGTACATCAATAAACAACTAACAACATTCATACTTCCGAGGTTAATTCCACGAGTTCGTCTTCTGTAATTTGGTTCTTTATAAATTTCTTCAACAACTCTCTCTGCCTCTTCCGATTGAGGAAGTTTTGCGTTTCGAACCTAGTGTTGGAAAAAATCCGCCCCAAAATAAAACACATGTCCAGCTAGCCAATGAAAAAATACACACCCAGAAAAAACACTTATCTTCCATCCATCGTAGGGCCTTCTGGGGGAGCTACCTTACGAGGCAAGAAGGTTTTTTGGATACCAAGTGCCGTACCGTCCATAACAACTTTTTTCGTATGTTTTCCACATATGTTACAATGAAAAGCGTCAACAAAGTCAATGTCAAGTAATCTAAATAGCGTAAAAAATCAGTGTTGTATCCAGCAAGGATTTTTTAGATCTATGGTTAAAAACCAATTAACATAGTTATTCTTAAAAGCGGATACAATACTGCCTGTTTTTGTCAACAAAATAAATAAGAATGCCATTTGATCTATTCAGTGTTGCCACTTCATAAGGAAAGTAAAATGATAGTAAATAAATGTTCAGACTTTCTTGGACATTAAAAGTAGGATAGTGTTTTCATTTTTTGTACCTCTCTATGTACCCTTTGTAGACCATTACCTACAAGTGGGAGCACCTCTGTGCACCTACACTCCCCACCCTTATCATAAACTCACCACCAATGAAATGATCAAATGCTAAACATACGTAAGTGCTACAGATATATATATATATATATATATATATTGGTAGCATACGTACTTTATCATTTATATTTAGCATTACAACAAAAGTTAATTTAAACAAACGAATATCCGATCAAATAAACTTTTAAATACATGTAACTCACCTAAAAAATTGGTGCAGGTTGAAATAAAAAAAAAGTTACCTAATCATTGCAGTAACTGCCAGACGAAACTTGGTGTAAGTTATAATGCCAGAAAAATTCAAATTTCCTGACATAACTTGTCTTTGGACGTACGTCACGTAATATTTATACATGGGCAGGCTAAACCATTTAATAGATGAAAAGATATTTTCATGAATTCATAATTAAATATGTAGATAAAAATGTTTACTTCATACTTGATAACTGACTATCACACGTACCTTGAAACCAAAAAATGCCTTATATAATCTTTGAGGACTGCATGCGAAATGGAAAATGATCCAAACCACAAGACGTTGTTCTCCATACCATCGTACCGCTTCTTGTTTGTGCATGTAGAACACGGTCGATAATACACTAAAAATTCACAGAAGATTGTAGTCGTGACACTAATACAAAGAAAGTAATAAATAATTCAGTTTACAAACCATTCACACAGCGGAAATCATAAAGATACGCCACATGACAGCCTTCCACATCCAGCCAGTCATCTGATACATCACACTTATCCCAAGCAGCACCACAAGAGCAAGTACCACAAGCACTAGGTACGAATATCTTTGACCAGTTCATAGCCAGAAGCTTAGCAAAATGATTGGCATCATTCTCATCACAACCTGTGTGAAAAAATGAGTATTGAAATTTAAATGACGATTCCATGTTTTTTGGCCACCCATTACACAAACACATATATATTATTTCCATTTACTACACTACTTTACCTATTTCAAATAATTTAACTTATTTTTCACTACGAGTTGCCAACTCGTAGTAATTTCTCATTTCAGGTGAGGTTTCGAAAGCTAACTTAAAATATGCTAGCTGCGAGTCGTCATCATCTTGTACGATTTCCAGCGCCTTCCCAAGAGTTGTAACATGAATGCAGAGGTAAGATGAACAATTAGAACATCTTAGCTCTGCTTGAGGTAGTGCTACTTTAGAATAAGTAAATGTGCACACGCCCCATTCGCGAATGACTGCTTTTACAGCAATCCAGTGGGGACCACCACTAACGGCTTTAAACAAGTCCTGTAACATGAAAGGAGCTATCGTAGAACATATTATAATTTAATCAATGACTGCAAGTAAAAACCTCTTTAGGGAAACATTCCACAGTATGAATGATCTACTGTGTCAGATGTTCCTGATTTTTCCACAACTTAAAAAATTAAAAAAACAAACATACCATCAATTTTATGCAAAATTACTTTTTTCACAGGTTGGCATGATATTAGCATACTGTTCTCATATAGCCAAATAACCACCATTCTGCATTATTACATGTTTCTGGATCTAGATCGTCCAGGTTAGTAGAGTCCTGAAAATGACTGTTATTGTTGGTGTTGACTGACGTTTCTACAACCTTAGTGGTAGTCATCTTCAAAAATTTTTGATCTGAACATCAACACAAACAGTCCTTCTCGAGACTCAACTACCTGGACGACCTACATCCACAAACATGTCACGATACTCTCGAGTTCAAACCATTTACTTTATTCTGCATTTTGAGAACAATAGCATACTCTTCAAAAAACTTGATTCTTGTGAGGTTATTCCCAAATTTTTATCATAAGTCTCCAAAAATCTTTCCATTGCCAATATATGTAAGCATTTTGGATAGCTTACACTATTAAAAGAGTATTCCAGAAGTTAGTGCTTAAATTTACAATTAGTCATTTTTAACAATCTTGTATACCTTTATCAGTACTTAAATTAGTATTTGAGCTAAGGGCCTGCACAAATTCCAGTCGCAATCGATCACATGAACAGCCAAACAACCAGACAAATCCATTTGCACGATAATGAGGGTACCGATGAACAAACAAATATATATGAATATAACATTATAAAATACATTCACTACTAAGGAGCTCACCATAATTTTTCTTTTCTCCACATTATAGTCAAGAATAGCAAATGATTGATGTTCCCCCAAATTTGTTACTGCAGAAAATTGAAGCAATAATCCAGTATAATACAAAACAGTTGCAATATTTTTCTAGAAAAAAACAATACATTTTGTTGGGAACTTAAATTCTTTAACTCAAGTTTAAATTGTTTCAAGAGGGAAAATAACTCCAGTCAACAAGTGGTTACAGTTTTTCTTCTAGGCAGAGAACGGAAATTACATTCATGATAAGTTTCATATGAAAACATTGCATGCCAGGGTTAGAGTGGTCAGTGTTAACACGCATATGTGCTTCCTAGGTTGTGGTAGGGTTCGTTTCTGTGAGACCAATGCATGTTATGAGTGTGTTGTTTCTCCTAAAGTTTTACATTATCTTGGTGATTATTTGAACAAGTTTCCATTAAGGGAGAAATATTTATCTTGTTGACATAGTGATTAGTGAGTCATGAATAAGTTGTTATGATTGTCAATAATGTTTGATTATGAATGCTAACTGAAGTATTTAAAGATTTATTTGATATATAATATTTTATGATATGCTTATTAATTTGAGAAATGAAAAACATGATTAAGGTGTTTCACTATAAACATTACTCACAATAAGCTTAGTCAACTTATACTCACTTTTATATATTTATACATAAACATTGCGTCCTCCTCATGATTACCATATACATAGATGGTAACCCTGCACTTTGGCAGAAAGTATATTATTGCATATTATAGGTGAGGATCCCATTAAATAGATTATAGTAGATTGCATCAAGCATAAAATCCTGAGTTAAGTTTTAAACTATTAAGATTTCATCTTATCTGTGCTACTTTATTTCATTTTGCTCTGAGCACTATATTTGTATCTGTAAGTTGCACTTACTTCATCAGGTTGAGATTTGTCGACATCAGCGGTGATAGTTTCATCAATATTCTGGGAAATCTAAAGAGTTTATAATATTACTTTGGCTTTCTGACAAGCATAAAGAATTTACTGTATTACTTTTTAGAAACCTGAATAATTCAACTAAAAACTAACCAGATGCAACGGTTGTTCAAGAGTGATGTTTGACTCAACACATTCTTCTAACAATGGATGATCATCATGCATTTCCTAAGAGAAAGTTTGCAATGCTCCATATATGATAAGCAACATATTTAATTTTTCATTTCACCTAAGTAACATATTTTATTTTTCCATTCGAGCTGTTTAAATTTAGACTTTTCTGCTGCCCTCTCCAACTATTTTGTTTGTCCATGCTAAAATTATTGGAATTGATATCATATAAATGTGTACATTTATCATCTTTACATTAAATAAGTTTCCAAGGAAACAGGCAAACAGTCATAAGTGCTTCAGTGATTGTGCTGGATTTAGAAGAAGTAAACTTGAATAGGTAGCACTTAAAGCTTAGCACAACTTTGTCATAACGTCCTATCCATTTCCTGTATTCTGCTTACAAACCTTTTGCATTATACACTCTAAAAGCATGGTTGTAGTTTCTTAATTCAGTTGCTTAACTTAAAAGTCAAAAATTGATTACAATTTAAATACAAAAACAGTAAATACGAAAAGGAGAATACATACGTAACATACCTGCTTTTGACGAGTGCAGAAAAAAGTTTTCGTATTCAGCGATCAATTACGTAGCATGAACTCATACAACATGTACATCGTTTTTTGCTGACCCTCTAATCGTATCTTTTTTCATTTTCAATTATAAACAGTGAACTGTAATTACAACATTGTTGTTATTACCGTTCACTGAATATAAATCATTGGGATAAATGGGAGTAGTTGAATAATACCATTTTATCCACTACACTGACCATAATGCATCGCAGACGCACCCTCTCTCTCCGCCCGGGATGTAATGTTTCCCGATTATTAGTACTGGAAGTAGAAGCTGAGCGATCTATCCAGGGGCGAAATTTAAGGGGGGGTATGGGGGGGGACTAACCCCCAAAAATGTTAACGTTGCAGGGCAACGATTGAATTTGCAGGGCTAATTACAAAACTAAACACTAGGATACGTGCGAACAGTTATCCACATAATTTGAAAATATAGTTCAGTTTTAATTTAAGCTGGATTTGCACTTCATGGGTAAGAACGGAAAACGGTAAACGGTAAACGGTACGCATCAAGGAAACTTTCCGTTTATAAATTTCCTCTTGTTTTGGCGGACATTTTAAAAGCAGATATGCATCATCATCGAAGTGTTCGTAAGTAAAATTATTGAAGTTTTTATATCTTGAAGTTTTTATATCTTAAACACCATACTATATTTTTACATCAGTAAACACAAACACTAAGATAAATTTTGTTGATTTAAATTGATCGAAGCTTTCTAGTAGTTAATGTTTGTATAGTTTATTTTAGGAAAAAGGAAAGTCAAGGATGAATGGTAAGTAATAGCAATTATTTAAACAAAAAAACCGAAACTAACAAATGTGTAAATGTGATTGGTATTTATTGTGATCGGTATTAAAGCCACCCAAACGAATTGGCGAGCATTTCGAAATAACAACAGAAACATCATTTAAAGATTTCTACCGAAAGGAAATGTACTTGGTTCTAGACTCACTTATTACCGAGTATACCGATAACATTAAAGATTGCATCGACAAAATAAAACCTCTTGGAGAGAGCTTACAGCTGCCGCTAGAAAGGCCGATGGCTGAAACAGTTATTGAAATGTGTAGTCTTTTTCCACCGGCGTTAAAAGATTTTGATGCAGAAATACTGCTGTCTGAGTTGGAAATTTTCAATAATATTGTGTCATCACAACTTAAATCAGAACGTAAATCCCTTCAAGACGTTGCGTTATTTGCTTTCAAACACAAAAACGTCTTTCCAACGGTGTGCAAGGCGTATCAACTATTGCTGACCGCTCCAGTGTCCGTGGCAAGATGAAAGGTGTTTCAGCATGCTTAAGATTGTCAAAAACTGCCTGAGATCCACAATGAAAGATACGCGATTAAATGACTTAATCGTTCTTGCATGTGAAAAAGATCTTACGGACAATGTTGACTTAAATATTATTTTAAAAAATTGGGCAACTGCAAAGATGCGAAAACTGCCATTAAAGATTTAATAGTACGCTAAAGTGCGTTCTGCCACAAAAATACAACATGTATTACAAAAATATATAGTGTAAGTACTGTTCCATATGATCTGCAGGGCATCTTATGTCCTTGCAGGGCAATTTCATCCCGAGCCCCTCCCCATTAAAATGGTGCTAGTTTCGCCCCTGGATCTATCTCGGCGTTGGCACCACTTGTTTCACTCACTTTTTTTTCACTCACTTTTTTTTGTCTTCTAATTTATACCCACAAAAGCAACAATACATTTGCGCGATTTTGTGGCGTCTGGAAGGATTAAGCATGCAACTTTGTCGGAAATGAGAATACCACTCAATGGAGAATACTAGAGAATACACGTGTGTGCTTTGGTTGTTGAAAGCAAGCCAAGTTGGGAACATGTGCCATTGACACCTAACGTCCCACATAATCCATAATCTTTCCACATGCAACTTTGTATTTTGTATTCAAAATATTTTAGTTGATTCTACATTTCACGCAAGTGAAAGATTTAGTAGTGTTTTTGACAGCTTTTTGTGGCGTATTATTCAATAATTAACACTTAATAAAATTTAATTACTTGCATCTAGTAGTTTGATTTGTGTTATGATTATTTTGTTGGAGATTTATAATTTTTTTACGCACTTACATATTTATTCGTGTATTGCACATACGGGCCACTGTAGATTAGAGCTCTCGACATTTTTCACAAAACGTTGAAATTTAGGTTTTATTCGCATCTTTGCCGAAAGATAACTCAAAAACGAAAAAAGTTATTCAAATTCTGTAAACGGCATTTGTATTATTTATCCAAAATCTATTTGAGAATAAAAAACTAAAAATAACTGTATGTGCACTTTAAATTTACGGTCTTTCGTGATAACATCAGACGGAAAACACCCTAATATGCTTGTTAGATTGATGACATGAACGTCAAGTACACACCAAAGATATCCGTAACATTAGAGTTAACGGAATAGGTGCGTCTGTAAAACGCCATGCCGTTTTAACAGCTGTGATGAAGACACATATTTTTAGAAATGTAAAGATAATTACTGCACATGTGTGTATTTATACAACATTGCTCATTATTGTTATAGTCGAGAGGTAGTTCATTGTATCTCTTAAAAGCATCATTTAGTTTCGTTTTTATTTTAGCTTTTTCAATGTATATTTTTCGACGTAGAATAAGAGTATTTTACGAATGGACTAAAGGCATTTTATTTGCGCGTTTTGCGTCCGCTGTCCGCGTCCGCTTTTTATCTACACCCTGGCAAGATGTCTTTTTAGAGGCAAAGCTACCCAAATATGGTTTGATGACTTTTTGATGACTTCAGTCTACATTCGAAACAGGTGTTTCAACTCACGTTTAGGAAAAACACCCTTCGAGGCTTTGGTTTGTAAGAAACCAAATTTAAGCAGCGTGCATGTATTTGGATCCACTTGTTATGCATACGTACAAAATGCCAAAAAGTTAGACAATCGCGGTCGAAAAGGAATCTTTGTTGGTTATAACAAAGAAAGTCCGGCATATTTGATTTATTATTCGGAATCAAATAAAGAAGAGAAAGCACGATGTGTCAAATTTCATGATAAATTTCAGGCAGAAAATATAAATGATATCGACGATATGATTTCAGATCGAATACAAAATGCAGATAGTATGAATGAAACAGAAGAAAAGCCGCACAATTTAAAAGAACAAAAAGATATTTCAAAAACAAAACAATCCTGAATTAATTAGTGACACGCACGCACAAGGGCAGCATGAACAAGACAACTTGTTAGATATCCCACACGGAAGCGAAGCAAACCAAGTTATTTTGGACAAAACCAAACAAACAACAATTTAAGTCTTACAGTAGACTAATGTTATAGGGTTGAGGGCATGCCATTAACATACAAACAGGCTGTTCAAGCACATGAAGCAGAAAAATAGCAAGAGGCCATGAATATTGAAATGAAAGCCCTGGTAGAAAATGATATATATGAGCTTGTACCAAAACCAAACAATAGACAAATAGTGGGGAGAAATGGGTTTACACAATTAAGACAGACCAAAACGAGGCGGAAACGTTTAAAACCAGATTTGTAGCCAAAGGTTACTCTCAAGTGCAGGAAATTGATTATCAAGAAACGTTTTCACCCACAGCACGCATGAGTTCAATTCGCACGAATCTATAGATGGTGATCATAACAGTTAGCTGTAAGATAGATGGCTACATCAATCAAACCTAACACAGCGCAGAGAAGTGTACGACCACAACTTTTGGAAAAAAATGGCAGAAGAAAATGTAATGCATTGACGGTTATGTCGTAAAATGGGATCAGCACTTTGACAACATTTGTCTGATCTAAATTTTTCTAGATTATTGCAGGAAGAACGTGGCATAGACTGAAAGGCCGCTACCATAGATATTTCAGTAAGTAAGTCAACTAATAAACACATGTTTCCCTTCAGTTGAATAAATGTCAAAAGAGATATAATATTTACATGTGAAGAAGATAAATATTTGTTTTCTATGGACAATTGAAGCTTAAATTTCATTTTGATATCAAGAAACACACATTTAGGCTTTCTTTTTTTATCTATTTCTTGATTACAGAAAACACGGCTGAAGATGAGCCGTCTCCTCAATTTTTGAAAGAGCCATCATGTAAGTTATTTGTGATTTTAAGAGGACAATTACATGGAGCAATTTCAACCCGGGCTAAGTTTTAGCCCTGTTTGTCGTGCTGAAATTTCAGCCAGGTCCTGTTACAATATCATATGAAAATAGCTTGAAAACGATGGACGAGACCACAGCTTAAAATATTCAAGTATGCGTAATTGCGTACCTAATGTTTATGATGACGACAACAAATTAACGACAACTGTTCAAGTCAATTATTAGCAAACTTTAACACAAATACAATCTAACTAGTTCATCCAATGATTTCTCTCAATCTCCAACCATCAACCAAAACGTATCCAAATTTGGGATACCTTATCAAGGCTCAAAAGGCACAAAAATTATTTATAACTGTCTTAAAAACTTCGTTAATAGCTCATCAAACCAGTTTAATTTATTATTATTTTTAAACGAAAAAAAAGCTTCTTTTTACTTCCAACAAAGACAAAATCTCACCACTGTCTCGTTTCAATGTCGTATGTCAAGTTACTTCCCCGGTTGTAACAAATCTTACATTGGTACAATTGAGAGATACCATAAAAGCCGACTTTATGAACATAACCCACAACATGAAACAAAAGCTATTGTACAGCACTTCTTAGAAAGCCAAAAAGCACGGAACATTACATATCACAACAACAGCACACTTGATCATAAAACACTTTTTGAAAAACCTAGTTCTAACATTACCTAACTCGTACTTAACAGCTATATAATATGTTCCTCGTTAATTACTTAAACAGAAACCGACTCTTACCAATGGAAGCACTCTTTAGTAAATCACACAAAGCAGAACTTACTAATGGGCTTAATGCCAGCAAAGAGCCGTCACTATTTGCTTTCACTGCATCAATCAACTAATCCCTCCCATCCAACACACATTCCCGCACTTCCGCTAAAATGACTTAACCCAAATATAAGTAGAGCTTCTGTTGGCTGGTAAATATAGTCCGTTGATGAATTTGTAACAATATCGAAATATTACTTTTCAGATAAAATCCCTTTTTTCTTTCTCAAATATTGAGTTAAGCATGAGTCTTTTATTTGAAGTATGGTTCATATTATATTACCCAATCTTAAAACGTAATTGACTTTCATCACTTACCATTATATCTAATGCTTACATTGTATTACTTTCAGTTTCAACTGCATTCAGCAGTACAGGAGCTTATGCATTGGAAGAGGTAATTATTTTTATAATGATTTATCAATATAGGAGGCTTTCCTAAATTCAGAAATATAAGAAGATGTAACCAAAAATCTTTTACATTACCCAGTTTAATTTCTGCAATGTTTAACAGTTTAACAGTTTTACATGTATTGCGGCTATTGCTTGTGATAAATCGCCATTGAGCGTCTGGAAACAAGGAACGATGTTAGGAATTCGTTGTAGTCGAGGGAGCAAAGTGGATTTGGTTTCGTCTGTAAACAAGTTCTATGGTACCGGTTTTGGTTTCCCAAGTGTAGAATTGTTCTCTAAACACAAAAAAATGAAATGAATTAACTCAATGACTTATAGTTATATTTTACTGGTGCATGTTTAATATTGCCTGTTATGTTTGTATAAATTATTTCCTAGTACAGCACTGATTCGTTATAAGTAACGCACTATGTTCGTTATCTATAACCGTACGTCCTGTGCCCAAAGTGCAGGAGTCACCATTGCACTGTGGTGATAGCCGGGAGGGCACTTTGTAAATACATTTTTTATATATATACATATAGAAGTACATAAAAGATAAGCGTTTCTCCGGATTTTAAGTGATTTTTATTGAGCTTTCGACTCGTTGCTTCGAGCCTTCATCAGAATGAGGATATTTATTTACACGTGCTTTTAGCTTAGAGACGTTTAGAGCGTCTATTTGGATTAGTGTGTGGATTTGCATTTGTGTAGGAAGTGAAGCTGCTCCAATGTTGATGACTCTTTACGTGCGAATGATTCCCATTTCCTTGTTCTTCTGAGAATATCTATCTCATATGTCGATTTTATAAGTTTGAAAAAAAAAACAATTCATGATAGAACTGACGCGATCTACATGATACCTTTTGATTGATTTCTTTTAAAACTAAATTTCTTTAAAAAAATCGGTTGCATACAACAGAATATATGGGTAAACAACCAATTCCCAGATTAGCGTTCAACAATGCGTCTATAAACAACTAGTCCATGATGTAATGCTAATTTTTCATTTAGATGTAAATTCTTATTTAAAAAGCAAACCTTGTTTCAATGATTTTGTTAAAGCGAGGATAGATATTAATTTTTTAAAATATTTCTGAAAAAAGATTTGCATATACAGTGCATTGTCACATAAGTTAAGTAAGTTTACCTCCCGTCATAGACCTTATTCCTTCTTTCGGGAAATTCTTGTCGCCAAACTGGTAGTATGGTAAAAATTATATTTTAATAATTTTCTTCATTTTTACGTGACAGGAAACAAATATTGATGAGCTCGATATGAGCGAAACATTTTGTGAATATGGTAAGCATAGCAGAAATGTTTGCTTTATAGTTTTATATAAGGAAGTGTTGTTGGAGAGTAAGACTAGGCCATTTCTACTATGTGCTAATTAAAGTCTTACTGTTTTTTTCTATTTCATTCGAGCATCTGTTGTAATAAATAAAAATATGATAACGTATTCCCTCATAAACTGTCTAAATCAAGTGTGATTTGAATATGCGTTTATCGTTATTCTCAAGTCAACGTGTCTGAATTATATGTATATTTTTTCAATGTGTCTTAGCTAACCAAGAAATTTTATCCTGCATTATAAATTGTTTTGTGTTCACTCATTGCAATAGGAACAATCTACTTAACAAAAAAAGAAATGAAAATATTCTAAAATTTACGTAGTAGTACGGCAGTACTAAAACTTGCCAGACTGACCAGGCCACAGCTTTTTCTTGCTCGTGCTTAGCGACTTTAAAGATTGAAAGTAATCAAGTTTTGTGAACAATAAAAAAACTAGAGTGCTCTAAAAGCATTTAATCATTCTATGTTAATGCTGACTTTTAATCCGTCAGGATTCCTTGTTTTATGCATTATGTGACTAAAATATTTTATTTAGGGCCCATTCATACTAACACTTTTAAACGATTTGAAATCGATTCGATTCCGTATGAGGGCTAAAGTGAACACTTGTAAGTGATGCGGAAACAAATTCGATCCGAACTAACTTGGGCCACTTGAGAAGGTGGTCTCCAAGAGGATTAGTTTAGTCTGCATGATAACACGAAAAGAATCGGATCAATCTTGATCATTTACGTGTTTTTAGCTTTTTGACCAGACTTTTCATGCGATTTCATGCTTTTCTTTCTGCTGTGTTAGCTTGCAGCAATATTTTTCGTAAAATATTGTTATTATCAAATATTCAAAGATGGTCTAGGAAAGGCGCCAAATTGAATGTCGATCATGTGAAGCAAATGCAAATAGTAATTTTATAAAAAATATAGATGCTAAAGTATGTACCCACAATACCCTTAATTTGACTAAAATAGATGCTAATCCATATCTATCCTATTGAGTTTCTTATGATACTATGTTATCAAGCGAAAAATAATGCGGAAAAAACTTTAACTTGCCCAACAATATTGACCTGCTCACCACTGTGTGACTTCATAGCTCAGTTGGTCAGAGCACTGCACCGGCACCGCAGAGGTCATGGCTTCGAATCCCGTTGAGTCACCTGATTTTTTCAAGTCCTGAGACGATTGCTTGAATTGTCCAGCAGAGTGCGAAGATCATATCGTCATTTAAAACTTTAACTGTGAACACTTGTGTTTTTCATTTTAAAAAGAATCTAATTCGAATAAACTAATTCGATTAGCAAACGAATTAAGTGCGAATTGCCATTAGTCCTAGGATTTTGGTTACTAAAAATATTTTTTTGTATACATCATTGAACTAAAGTACATGGAACGCAACCTCAAGCAAACAATTAAAGACATATCTTACGCCAGACACGCGAGATTTTACCCCAGACATGCGTGTTTAGTGTTTCGAGATTCTCTCGCGGAGTATTACACGATTGATTACACACGCGTGTCTGGGTTAAAATCACGGCTTAAAAAATTATTATGGTTTTGTATTACAGGTAGTGCTCCCTGTATTTGTAGTTCAATGGGATATATTAATGTAGTTAGCAGGTTTTTGTGATATTTTTAAATGTTTAATTTTTTTATTGTGTAACCAACGTATAAGTTTTTGCGAGAAATATTTGAATAAGGCAAATTACGGCAATCATACGTAAATCACAACACTTTTGATTAATGTGGCAAATTACCAAAGATCATTCATTAAGAATAATAGTTGAAATAAGAATTAGTGTAATGTCCTAGTTAAATGCTAGTCAAATAAAAGGACTTCATACAGCAAAGCCATGGAATGTGTCACACGAACGTATGATTAATAGAGACATTGTTATGTATAGTAATATAAAAAATGTCCTGTAATGTTCTGATTTAACACGTTACTCTTTGTTACCTAATCTTAAAAAAAAATCAGTGATTATTTTGTTCAATGCGTATAACCTATTACTTTCAATAATAATTCAGGAAAAGAAGGAGGAGGTGATGAAGAGGAGGTAATTTTTTATTACTCTTTTATCAAAGCAGCCTGCTTTCTATAGTAGAGAAATATAAGACGATTTAAATTTTCAATCGCTCAATACTAATCAGTTATTTTCTTCCATAAACTGATATAAAAGTTTCATGTATAATATCATCATAAACTTTGTATGTTGCTGCAAAAAGAAAACATTCCACTATATGATAAAAGCAAAAAATGTAGAACTTTTACAAACAAATCTGTTTATAAAATAATAAGTGGAAAATATTTGCAAAAAGTGTCATGAAATTATTATTGTGCGCGTAGTTTACTATATCTTTACAGGATCAACAAAAAATCGTTCGTGCAATAGATAATGTTTTAATTTTTTGTTTGTTCATAATCGATCTCGCAAGACCAAATGTATCTACTAATGTATCTGCTTCTTATTGAAGTTAAACGAGCATAGTTTTAAGTATTATTGCACAAATTGATGCATTAATTATTTTTATATTTTTACGTCACAGGCCACAAATAATATGCGCCATGTGATGGACATGGACATGACGAATTGTGATGATAAAAAATCGATTTTAATCATTTTCTCCATTTTTCTTGACAGGCTACAAATTATCAAACGGTCGATATGATCGAAACGTTTTGTGAATACGGTAAATATAGCAAACATGTTCACTTTACAGTTTTAAATAAGCAAGTGGTGTCGAAAAGTATTTTATTTATATTTAACGTTATAGTAATGTCATGTTTTCTACGATTAGGCCTTTCTAGTTATGTGTTATAGTTTTACCGTTTTTTCCCATGTAAGTTAATCACTTGTTGTAATGAATTCGAATATATTGACATATTCCAACACCATCACTAGTACGCAAACTTAACAGCAAGATCTTCTCTATGAGAAAATCTAACATTATATCTGAACGTATTTACTATCGACTCAGATGTTCAGTACCACGACCACCCAGACTATACGGACTACCAAAACTTCACAAACCACAAATACCCATGCGACCAATTGTATCATTCTGTGGTTCGCCTACTTACGAACTTTCAAAGTACTTGACTAACATACTGCAACCACTCACAAACAAATCAAAACACAAGCTACAATCCACTGAAACTTTCATTGAAAAACTGTGCACTATACAAATACCAGACAACTATATATTAGTGTCTTTTGATGTGAAATCACTGTTCACCAGTATTCCACTTAATCTGGCACTTACTTGTACAAAAACCCTCATTACAAACACCACGGACGTACTGCCATTACCGACAGAAGACATTATGGAGTTACTAGAGCTCTGCCTCACCTCTACTTACTTCCAATACAAAGGAACACACTACAAACAATTACATGGGACAGCAATGGGCTCGCCCGTTTCTGTTGTAGTTGCTGAAATTGTAATGCAATCTATAGAGGAACGGGCACTCATGACTTACAAACATGCACTACCTTTTTGGTTTCGCTACGTAGATGACACAATCACAGCACTACATGCAGACGAGATTGATGACTTCCATACTCACATCAACAAACAGAACAGCCACATACAATTTACCAAAGATGTCGAAGAAAACGGAACTCTTCCTTTTCTCGACTGTTTGGTAAAACATGACAATCAAAAACTAGGAACAACAGTTTATCGCAAGCCAACACATACTGACCGACTACTAGACCAATCATCTTACAACCCTACATCACACAAAGCTACCACAATCAGAACATTAACAAGACGTGCACAAATCATATGTGATTCACCGGACGCTCTACAAAACGAAAACAACTATCTCAAACGTGTTTTTGACAAAAAACAACTATAACTCTGACTTTATCAAACGCAACACTTACAAACCCAACGAACCCAACGAAACGAACAACTCAGTGACAACAGCAACGATACCTTACATCAAAGGTACGTCTGAGACTATCTCGCGTATCCTACGACCATACAACATACGTGTCGCACATAAACCAATCACAACATTACGACAAGTACTAACGAACATAAAGGACAAAGAACAACCCAACGAACGACAAGGTGCAGTTTACAAAATAAACTGCTCCGACTGCCACGCCTCCTATATCGGGGAAACTGGCAGGAACTTAAACATAAGACTTACTGAGCACAAACGAGCTACTAAGAAACAAGACAAAACTAATCACATTGCCGAACATCACCGAATCACAAAGCACAACATTGACTGGGACTCGGCAAAATGCATCACTTACAGTACTGACTATAGACAACGGCTTACATTAGAAAGTTGGTATACCAACTTGGAACAAACCCCCCTGAACAGATCACAGCAATTACCGGCACCTTACAAACGACTTATTCACAATACAAACAAACGATCAACTAAAAACATTACACTTCAAACTAATTCACAATGACAATACACAATTGACACCCACACATTACAACTAAAAACGTCACACCTAAATCACACATCACAACTAAAAATAAAATATTTCACTTCACACTAATCCACAATGACAATACACATTTCCTGCACATTTCCTGTACACACAATACAATGACGTAAGAACCAGACAATAAATACGGCTAACCTGACGTTTACTCCTCATTTGACTCTGAAGATGACTACCGCTAAGGTTGTCGAAACGTCAGTCAACAACATCAAAAACAGTCCTTCTCAGGACTTTATTAACATGGACGATCATCATTTACAAACATACAACGATACTCCCGGGTTCAAACCATTTACTTTATTACGATCATTTGGACGACAGAGCGAACAACTTGCTAACGACTACATACGTTTTGCAAGCAACGTCAGACGCATACGCCAACAACTCTGGTTCAACCACCGCTGCAAGGATTTTGGTCTCGTTCCGACAGGACTTAGAATTAAGTCTCCGTTGAACACACAAGAGGCTATTCAGATTGTCAAATCCACCAGCAGACGACTGATACGAGCACGGATTAACGACTGTCACAGACGAATCAACTATTACATCAAACAACAAGAACAAAGACTGAACAAACTGAAGGAACTCATACCAACGACAGTAAGTGATACTTTACTTTCTACCATACAAACTATTGCAGAGAAACGAGCAAACAAGACAGAGACAAAACACCAAATCAAACAACAACAAAAACTTGAACGTTTAAAACAAACTAAAACACGTGCAAGACATAAACATGACGATAACTGGGTGAGGAATATTTCTTCCCGCACATTAGACGAAGCTGAAACGCGACTACTATCTTACGGACTAAAACATTCCATAACACCTAGACAAATCCCGACTGAGACAATAGTATCAAGTGTCGAGGCTGTCCTGGCGTATCAAAGAGACTTGTCAGAGACAACAAAAGACGAGATCAGAAGCAGGATAGCCTCCACTTTACAATCGTCCTCTATACGTGACAACAACTTGACAAAAGACGAACAACAAGCACTCAAACGACTAAAGCACGACAACAACATCGTCATTTTACCAGCAGACAAAGGACGCGTGACTGTGGTCATGGACAGGAATGATTACTTTAACAAAATGGACGCACTTGTTAACGACAGACAAACGTACGAACAACTCAAACGAGACCCAACACCATCACTAGTACGCAAACTTAACAGCAAGATCTTCTCTATGAGAAAATCTAACATTATATCTGAACGTATTTACTATCGACTCAGATGTTCAGTACCACGACCACCCAGACTATACGGACTACCAAAACTTCACAAACCACAAATACCCATGCGACCAATTGTATCATTCTGTGGTTCGCCTACTTACGAACTTTCAAAGTACTTGACTAACATACTGCAACCACTCACAAACAAATCAAAACACAAGCTACAATCCACTGAAACTTTCATTAAAAACTGTGCACTATACAAATACCAGACAACTATATTAGTGTCTTTTGATGTGAAATCACTGTTCACCAGTATTCCACTTAATCTGGCACTTACTTGTACAAAAACCCTCATTACAAACACCACGGACGTACTGCCATTACCGACAGAAGACATTATGGAGTTACTAGAGCTCTGCCTCACCTCGACTTACTTCCAATACAAAGGAACACACTACAAACAATTACATGGGACAGCAATGGGCTCGCCCGTTTCTGTTGTAGTTGCTGAAATTGTAATGCAATCTATAGAGGAACGGGCACTCATGACTTACAAACATGCACTACCTTTTTGGTTTCGCTACGTAGATGACACAATCACAGCACTACATGCAGACGAGATTGATGACTTCCATACTCACATCAACAAACAGAACAGCCACATACAATTTACCAAAGATGTCGAAGAAAACGGAACTCTTCCTTTTCTCGACTGTTTGGTAAAACATGACAATCAAAAACTAGGAACAACAGTTTATCGCAAGCCAACACATACTGACCGACTACTAGACCAATCATCTTACAACCCTACATCACACAAAGCCACCACAATCAGAACATTAACAAGACGTGCACAAATCATATGTGATTCACCGGACGCTCTACAAAACGAAAACAACTATCTCAAACGTGTTTTGACAAAACAACTATAACTCTGACTTTATCAAACGCAACACTTACAAACCCAACGAACCCAACGAAACGAACAACTCAGTGACAACAGCAACGATACCTTACATCAAAGGTACGTCTGAGACTATCTCGCGTATCTTACGACCATACAACATACGTGTCGCACATAAACCAATCACAACATTACGACAAGTACTAACGAACATAAAGGACAAAGAACAACCCAACGAACGACAAGGTGCAGTTTACAAAATAAACTGCTCCGACTGCCACGCCTCCTATATCGGGGAAACTGGCAGGAACTTAAACATAAGACTTACTGAGCACAAACGAGCTACTAAGAAACAAGACAAAACTAATCACATTGCCGAACATCACCGAATCACAAAGCACAACATTGACTGGGACTCGGCAAAATGCATCACTTACAGTACTGACTATAGACAACGGCTTACATTAGAAAGTTGGTATACCAACTTGGAACAAACCCCCCTGAACAGATCACAGCAATTACCGGCACCTTACAAACGACTTATTCACAATACAAACAAACGATCAACTAAAAACATTACACTTCAAACTAATTCACAATGACAATACACAATTGACACCCACACATTACAACTAAAAACGTCACACCTAAATCACACATCACAACTAAAAATAAAATATTTCACTTCACACTAATCCACAATGACAATACACATTTCCTGCACATTTCCTGTACACACAATACAATGACGTAAGAACCAGACAATAAATACAGCTAACCTGACGTTTACTCCTCATTTGACTCTGAAGATGACTACCGCTAAGGTTGTCGAAACGTCAGTCAACAACATCAAAAACAGTCCTTCTCAGGACTTTATTAACCTGGACGATCATCATTTACAAACATATTTATAACTGTCTTAGAAAAACTTCGTTAATAGCTCATCAAACCAGTTTAATTTATTATTATTTTTAAACGAAAAAAAAGCTTCTTTTTACTTCCAACAAAGACAAAATCTCACCACTGTCTCGTTTCAATGTCGTATGTCAAGTTACTTCCCCGGTTGTAACAAATCTTACATTGGTACAATTGAGAGATACCATAAAAGCCGACTTTATGAACATAACACACAACATGAAACAAGCGCTATTGTACAGCACTTCTTAGAAAGCCAAAAGCACGGAACATTACATATCACAACAACAGCACACTTGATCATAAAACACTTTTTGAAAAACCTAATTCTAACATTACCTAACTCGTACTTAACAGCTATATAATATGTTCCTCGTTAATTACTTAAACAGAAACCGACTCTTACCAATGGAAGCACTCTTTAGTAAATCACACAAAGCAGAACTTACTAATGGGCTTAATGCCAGCAAAGAGCCGTCACTATTTGCTTTCACTGCCTCAATCAACTAATCCCTCCCATCCAGCACACATTCCCGCACTTCCGCTAAAATGACTTAACCCAAATATAAGTAGAGCTTCTGTTGGCTGGTAAATATAGTCCGTTGATGAATTTGTAACAATATCGAAATATTACTTTTCAGATAAAATCCCTTTTTTCTTTCTCAAATATTGAGTTATTGTATTTACAAAGTGCCCTCCCGGCTATCACCACAGTGCAATGGTGACTCCTGCACTTGGGACACAGGAGTCACCACAGTGCAATGGTGACTCCTTTGTCCCAAGTGCAGGAGTCACCATTGCACTGTGGTGATAGCCGGGAGGGCACTTTGTAAATACATTTTTTATATATATACATATAGAAGTACATAAAATATAAACGTTTCTCCGGATTTTAAGTGATTTTTATTGAGCTTTCGACTCGTTGCTTCGAGCCTTCATCAGAATTAGGATATTTATTTACACGTGCTTTTAGCTTAGAGACGTTTAGAGCGTCTATTTGGATTAAAGTGTGGATTTGCATTTGTGTAGGAAGTGAAGCTGCTCCAATGTTGATGACTCTTTACGTGCGAATAATTCCCATTTCCTTGTTCTTCTGAGAATATCTATCTCATATGTCGATTTTATAAGTTTGAAAAAAAAAACAATTCATGATAGAACTGACGCGATCTACATGATACCTTTTGATTGATTTCTTTTAAAACTAAATTTCTTTAAAAAATCGGTTGCTTGCAACAGAATATATGGGTAAACAACCAATTCCCATATTAGCGTTCAACAATGCGTCTATAAACAACTAGTCCATGATGTAATGCTAATTTTTCATTTAGATGTAAATTCTTATTTAAAAAGCAAACCTTGTTTCAATGATTTTGTTAAAGCGAGGATAGATATTAATTTTTTAAAATATTTCTGAAAAAAGATTTGCATATACAGTGCATTGTCACATAAGTTAAGTAAGTTTACCTCCCGTCATAGACCTTATTCCTTCTTTCGGGAAATTCTTGTCGCTAAACAGGTAGTATGGTAAAAATTATATTTTAATAATTTTCTTCATTTTTACGTGACAGGAAACAAATATTGATGAGCTCGATATGAGCGAAACATTTTGTGAATATGGTAAGCATAGCAGAAATGTTTGCTTTATAGTTTTATATAAGGAAGTGTTGTTGGAGAGTAAGACTAGGCCATTTCTACTATGTGCTAATTAAAGTCTTACTGTTTTTTTCTGGCGTTCATCTAAAACATTGCTCTTATCTTCAAATTCGAAGGACGATTCCTTTACTTTCTTTTCTTGCTCAATGTCTACTTTTAAAGCCATTTTCGTTTTAGTAAGACAAAAATTACCAAATAATTTTAACTCAATAAAATTGTAACGTTTACTTTCATTTTTATTTCAGAGTGATCGTTGCTAGTTTTTTTAATTAAATAAAAATGTTTTATTTCAATAAAATGTATTTAAGAATATCAGAGTCTCATGTTCTTATTTGTTCTTTTTTTCTGTCATAAATATTTTTCTCCAATCATTACAAGTGTACTTGATAAGTTCTAACCCATTTACCATCGGAGTCATATCTTGTAAACTATCAAAGAAGGATTTCATGACTTCTTCCTCATCAATTTCGTATATTTTAAAACCAATTTCAGTAGCATAGCACTTTAACAATTTATTCTGTATATTGCTTTGGCGTTCATCTAAAACATGGCTCTCATCTTCAAATTCGAAGGACGATTCCTTCACTTTCTTTGCTTGCTCAATGTCTACTTTTAAAGCCATTTTCGTTTTAGTAAGACAAAAGTTACCAAATAATTTTAACTCAATAAAATTGTAACGTTTACTTTCATTTTTATTTCAGAGTGATCGTTGCTAGTTTTTTTAATTAAATAAAAATGTTTTATTTCAATAAAATGTATTTAAGAATATCAGAGTCTCATGTTCTTATTTGTTCTTTTTTTCTGTCATAAATATTTTTCTCCAATCATTACAAGTGTACTTGATAAGTTCTAACCCATTTACCATCGGAGTCATATCTTGTAAACTATCAAAGAAGGATTTCATGACTTCTTCCTCATCAATTTCGTATATTTTAAAACCAATTTCAGTAGCATAGCACTTTAACAATTTATTCTGTATATTGCTTTGGCGTTCATCTAAAACATGGCTCTCATCTTCAAATTCGAAGGACGATTCCTTTACTTTCTTTGCTTGCTCAATGTCTACTTTTAAAGCCATTTTCGTTTTAGTAAGACAAAAGTTACCAAATAATTTTAACTCAATAAAATTGTAACGTTTACTTTCGTTTTTATTTCAGAGTGATCGTTGCTAGTTTTTTTAATTAAATAAAAATGTTTTATTTCAATAAAATGTATTTAAGAATATCAGAGTCTCATGTTCTTATTTGTTCTTTTTTTCTGTCATAAATATTTTTCTCCAATCATTACAAGTGTACTTGATAAGTTCTAACCCATTTACCATCGGAGTCATATCTTGTAAACTATCAAAGAAGGATTTCATGACTTCTTCCTCATCAATTTCGTATATTTTAAAACCAATTTCAGTAGCATAGCACTTTAACAATTTATTCTGTATATTGCTTTGGCGTTCATCTAAAACATGGCTCTCATCTTCAAATTCGAAGGACGATTCCTTCACTTCTTTGCTTGCTCAATGTCTACTTTTAAAGCCATTTTCGTTTTAGTAAGACAAAAGTTACCAAATAACTTTAACTCAATAAAATTGTAACGTGTTCTCCTTTTTTATATTTGCGAAGGAAACAAGAAAACGGATGTAATAATACTTTAAAAATAGAAAACAATTGACAATTTTAATTAAGTTTTATCGTGTTTCAATTAATTATGTCATCCAGTAGTAACCTTCGTTCATTTTACGTCGTTTCCGGTTTACACGAGCGCGCCCTGTTTACTTCCTAGGACTGGAAACTAATTGACACGGGAAAGAGCTCCGTTTACTTCCGGGACCATACCTGCACCATATCTACTGTTACCGGCAATCGCCCTCGAAATTATCCACGGAAGGGAAGAGACCTGCTGAGCTCTACTTCATCATCTGTGTCGACTAGCTCGACGAATCCGCTGTTGAACAATCAGCGTTTTCGAAGACATGACTCGGGTTTGTCAGACTTAAGTATCATCCCCGATCATTTTGAAAGTCTACTGAATGTTGAGAATACCTACTAGCTACATGCTTACACGCATAAACTATGCTTCTAAATTAGAAGGAAACACTATGTGACATATGCTTCGAGCAAAAGCTACTTCTATGACTATTGTATCTATTTATATATGATATCTCCTGACTATTGTACGATTGCTGCATGTTGAAGTCTTCTTAGATCGATGAAATATAAACAACAGCCCATAATTATGAGTGCATTGGGCACTATATAAAATATGTCTCATCCATGTAGGTCAGCAAAATGGTGATGCAATTTGACCCCAGATGGGAAATCAATCGAGAGAATTTGAATCTTTGCAAGTAATAGGCGAGGGTGCTTTTGGTAAGGTGCTAAAAGCCGAGGCTTTCGGTGTTGGCAAACAGAACTTCGGAAAGACTATTGTTGCCGTGAAGACGTTGAAAGGTTTAGCTAATTTGAGTTTGTGCAAAAGGATTTCAAAAAACATAATTTGATTAAAAGGACAGGATATTCATATGTCAATATGTTCACCCTAGACGACGCTACCGAGGCAGAGTTAATGGATCTCATTCTGAAGCAGAGGTGATGAAATATATTGGTCGCCATAAGAATATTAATAATGTTATGGGGTGTTGCACACAAAATGGTGAGTAATAAGTTAATAATAGTTCCGACTTTTAGTCTGCCAAAATGCATTATGTCGTTTAGTTTCACTAACACTTCTTTTAAAACTATTGGTTTAGTTAGTGTTCTGTGCTTAAAATGCTGAGTTGTACAATCTTGAATTAAGATTTTATATTGGTTCTTTCATTAAGATATTGACATTGATTTCGTTCATCTGACTTTCACTTATGAGTAGCATACACCCTATCTTTCCCAAGAAATAATTTGCCAAAAAAGTTTCTCTCTGATGAGTCTTCTTAGTGAGTCTGGTCATACACAACTTTCCTTCTCTTAAATTTATGTTTGTGAGACAATTCTTAGCGTTCAATACTCTTTCTACGTTGATTTACTTTCATTAAATCCTCAGGACCGCTACTGGTGGTTGTCGAATATGCACCTTTCGGCATTTTACGAGAATATCTTCGTGAAGGAAGACTTGACCGAAACGGAGAGACCATTCCAATAGAAGGAGAAGAAAAGTTGCGCCTTAGGGATTTCGTCTCCTTCAGTTATCAAATTGCTCGTGGAATGGAGTATTTGTCAGGAAGAAAGGTAGCTTTAGATTGAACTATATCACTGTACAGCTATATAAGCATTGGTGTGATGATTTATCCTTACACCACCAATAATTTTGTAGTGTTTTCATCGCGATCTTGCTTCCAGGAATATTTTAGTTGGTGAAGATAGAGTAATGAAAATTGCAGACTTTGGTTTAGCTCGCGACATTCATCAGATTAACTATTACCGCAAAACAACTGACGTATGTATTCTGTGAAATTGTGCCATTAATCCTGATAAATAATTTTTAAGAATATGAAAACATTTTTTGTCCTTGTATATGTATATTATAGTAAATTTTCTAGTTTTGTGCCTGAACTTCGAGTGGAAATATTTTTGTTTGATATCATTGTATTATAAGACATTTATAATTACTTTGAATTTCACACTTTTTGTACTGCAGAGGAATTTCTTGTAAGTTATTTCTTAAAGTTTTCACACGGTATATCAATGAATGGAAAATGAAAATGGCGATTTTGATGGAATAAAAGTGTAGGGTAAGGCAGCGTGCTAAAACGTTTATGCATGTTTTACAACAGTGGAATGAACATGAGCGAAAAGACTTTAGTTTTTCTTACTAAAATGTTTACAAGAACAAAGACATCGTGGAATTTTTATTCAATTCTTTATTTGTTCTTCTTTGAGTTATATATTTTTTAAGTTTACGTTTATGCGGATGCTTATGTCATGTTGTTTAGAAATCAGCCAATAATGAAATATTAATGCCTGATGATATTTTTGTGCAGATTTCACTGTTACAATTTACGTTAAATTTCCAAAAACAATAAATTGAATGCTAGTTGCAACATACATATATAGTTTATAACCAAATGAAATGAGATTCACTTTCTCACGTAGAAATTGACGTATGAAAAATATCTGTAGTCGCAGCCTAATGACAGAGCATGAGAAAATACAACAATACAACAACTAGAGCTCATTTATTTTCTAAAATATTTATGTAATACACGTACAAGATTTTATTGAAGTGTTGTTCACCTATTAATCCCAAAAATAAGACGATTTAAAAGTTTTTCTATGGAGATGAATAATAAATTCATAAAAAAAACGTCAACTGTTGCATCAAAAAAAAAAGCACTAAGACGCTAACAACCAACGAACTATATTCCAGGTGTATCAAAAAAGTGACTCTTGGAAAAGGTTCTCTTAAATAAGACGCGCATGTGTATTTTAACGTTCACTGGTACAGCTGGTAATGATTTATTTGCAAATTGAATAAAGTACAATAGGAGATTAAGAGGCCAATTCCTAAGTTAAGTGAAATGCGGAAAAGCCAAAAAAAACTGTCGTTATTTGTATGTTGTTATTGATATTTTTATAGATGGTGTTTTGTGACGAGCAGTTTGTTGACAAACTAATCAGCATATGTATGATATTCTTTCTTATTCTTGGTAAAATAATGTTTGCTGCCGCCATAGCTATCCAGGTACGTTGTTGCTTCATTTGTTTCATTTGTCAACTCTTGATTAGACAATGAAAGTTCTATAAAGGTGCAAAGAGAAAGTCTACATTTGGTGCGAGTCAGTGGTGATCTTTTCAATGATGCCATGAATGAATATCCAGAATTTTTTAAGTGAGTATGATTATTATTTTATGCTCATTTGGAGATAGATATTAACCGAGTTTTGTCTTGTAACTTCAGTTAAATAGCCATTTACAGTAACGTTATTATAAAAGCAATATTTTGGCCTTTTCTGACATTGTGTTTATTCATGCATAAATTGACCATACCATCATTAACCTGTATTACATATGGCGCATAGGTTCTATGGCCTATACTCTTGTTCTAGTTAATACATCATGTTTTTCACCATCAAGATTTTTAACCGATATGCTATTCAACACATTTTCTTCTACAAACGGTTTGTAAAATCTTAAAACAATAAAAGCATGGAAAATGAACCTTTTCAAGTGAGCTGTTGCTGTTGTTCTAGCTTTAATGCCAACAACATTTTCAACTATCAGACAATCCAGAATCTCTACCAGTAGAAACTTTTTCATGGTTTTTTGTATATTATGTCAGCCTTGAGTGTTTTAAGTATTATAGTTTGTGAATTTAAAAGTTTTCTTGAATAATGTTTAATAGAGTTTTTATCTTACTCACTGAATTTATTATACGATTATTATTCGTTCTTTAGTTCAATTAAGTACCAACAGCAAATAATACAATTAAGTTGTCAAAGCTGGTTAACTGCTTAATATAAAGTTCATAGGTATAAGTAATATATAGTAACCTTCGTTCATTTTACGTCGTTTCCGGTTTACACGAGCGCGCCCTGTTTACTTCCTAGGACTGGAAACTAATTGACACGGGAAAGAGCTCCGTTTACTTCCGGGACCATACCTGCACCATATCTACTGTTACCGGCAATCGCCCTCGAAATTATCCACGGAAGGGAAGAGACCTGCTGAGCTCTACTTCATCATCTGTGTCGACTAGCTCGACGAATCCGCTGTTGAACAATCAGCGTTTTCGAAGACATGACTCGGGTTTGTCAGACTTAAGTATCATCCCCGATCATTTTGAAAGTCTACTGAATGTTGAGAATACCTACTAGCTACATGCTTACACGCATAAACTATGCTTCTAAATTAGAAGGAAACACTATGTGACATATGCTTCGAGCAAAAGCTACTTCTATGACTATTGTATCTATTTATATATGATATCTCCTGACTATTGTACGATTGCTGCATGTTGAAGTCTTCTTAGATCGATGAAATATAAACAACAGCCCATAATTATGAGTGCATTGGGCACTATATAAAATATGTCTCATCCATGTAGGTCAGCAAAATGGTGATGCAATTTGACCCCAGATGGGAAATCAATCGAGAGAATTTGAATCTTTGCAAGTAATAGGCGAGGGTGCTTTTGGTAAGGTGCTAAAAGCCGAGGCTTTCGGTGTTGGCAAACAGAACTTCGGAAAGACTATTGTTGCCGTGAAGACGTTGAAAGGTTTAGCTAATTTGAGTTTGTGCAAAAGGATTTCAAAAAACATAATTTGATTAAAAGGACAGGATATTCATATGTCAATATGTTCACCCTAGACGACGCTACCGAGGCAGAGTTAATGGATCTCATTCTGAAGCAGAGGTGATGAAATATATTGGTCGCCATAAGAATATTAATAATGTTATGGGGTGTTGCACACAAAATGGTGAGTAATAAGTTAATAATAGTTCCGACTTTTAGTCTGCCAAAATGCATTATGTCGTTTAGTTTCACTAACACTTCTTTTAAAACTATTGGTTTAGTTAGTGTTCTGTGCTTAAAATGCTGAGTTGTACAATCTTGAATTAAGATTTTATATTGGTTCTTTCATTAAGATATTGACATTGATTTCGTTCATCTGACTTTCACTTATGAGTAGCATACACCCTATCTTTCCCCAAGAAATAATTTGCCAAAAAAGTTTCTCTCTGATGAGTCTTCTTAGTGAGTCTGGTCATACACAACTTTCCTTCTCTTAAATTTATGTTTGTGAGACAATTCTTAGCGTTCAATACTCTTTCTACGTTGATTTACTTTCATTAAATCCTCAGGACCGCTACTGGTGGTTGTCGAATATGCACCTTTCGGCATTTTACGAGAATATCTTCGTGAAGGAAGACTTGACCGAAACGGAGAGACCATTCCAATAGAAGGAGAAGAAAAGTTGCGCCTTAGGGATTTCGTCTCCTTCAGTTATCAAATTGCTCGTGGAATGGAGTATTTGTCAGGAAGAAAGGTAGCTTTAGATTGAACTATATCACTGTACAGCTATATAAGCATTGGTGTGATGATTTATCCTTACACCACCAATAATTTTGTAGTGTTTTCATCGCGATCTTGCTTCCAGGAATATTTTAGTTGGTGAAGATAGAGTAATGAAAATTGCAGACTTTGGTTTAGCTCGCGACATTCATCAGATTAACTATTACCGCAAAACAACTGACGTATGTATTCTGTGAAATTGTGCCATTAATCCTGATAAATAATTTTTAAGAATATGAAAACATTTTTTGTCCTTGTATATGTATATTATAGTAAATTTTCTAGTTTTGTGCCTGAACTTCGAGTGGAAATATTTTTGTTTGATATCATTGTATTATAAGACATTTATAATTACTTTGAACTTCACACTTTTTGTACTGCAGAGGAATTTCTTGTAAGTTATTTCTTAAAGTTTTCACACGGTATATCAATGAATGGAAAATGAAAATGGCGATTTTGATGGAATAAAAGTGTAGGGTAAGGCAGCGTGCTAAAACGTTTATGCATGTTTTACAACAGTGGAATGAACATGAGCGAAAAGACTTTAGTTTTTCTTACTAAAATGTTTACAAGAACAAAGACATCGTGGAATTTTTATTCAATTCTTTATTTGTTCTTCTTTGAGTTATATATTTTTTAAGTTTACGTTTATGCGGATGCTTATGTCATGTTGTTTAGAAATCAGCCAATAATGAAATATTAATGCCTGATGATATTTTTGTGCAGATTTCACTGTTACAATTTACGTTAAATTTCCAAAAACAATAAATTGAATGCTAGTTGCAACATACATATATAGTTTATAACCAAATGAAATGAGATTCACTTTCTCACGTAGAAATTGACGTATGAAAAATATCTGTAGTCGCAGCCTAATGACAGAGCATGAGAAAATACAACAATACAACAACTAGAGCTCATTTATTTTCTAAAATATTTATGTAATACACGTACAAGATTTTATTGAAGTGTTGTTCACCTATTAATCCCAAAATAAGACGATTTAAAAGTTTTTCTATGGAGATGAATAATAAATTCATAAAAAACGTCAACTGTTGCATCAAAAAAGCACTAAGACGCTAACAACCAACGAACTATATTCCAGGTGTATCAAAAAAGTGACTCTTGGAAAAGGTTCTCTTAAATAAGACGCGCATGTGTATTTTAACGTTCACTGGTACAGCTGGTAATGATTTATTTGCAAATTGAATAAAGTACAATAGGAGATTAAGAGGCCAATTCCTAAGTTAAGTGAAATGCGGAAAAGCCAAAAAAAACTGTCGTTATTTGTATGTTGTTATTGATATTTTTATAGATGGTGTTTTGTGACGAGCAGTTTGTTGACAAACTAATCAGCATATGTATGATATTCTTTCTTATTCTTGGTAAAATAATGTTTGCTGCCGCCATAGCTATCCAGGTACGTTGTTGCTTCATTTGTTTCATTTGTCAACTCTTGATTAGACAATGAAAGTTCTATAAAGGTGCAAAGAGAAAGTCTACATTTGGTGCGAGTCAGTGGTGATCTTTTCAATGATGCCATGAATGAATATCCAGAATTTTTTAAGTGAGTATGATTATTATTTTATGCTCATTTGGAGATAGATATTAACCGAGTTTTGTCTTGTAACTTCAGTTAAATAGCCATTTACAGTAACGTTATTATAAAAGCAATATTTTGGCCTTTTCTGACATTGTGTTTATTCATGCATAAATTGACCATACCATCATTAACCTGTATTACATATGGCGCATAGGTTCTATGGCCTATACTCTTGTTCTAGTTAATACATCATGTTTTTCACCATCAAGATTTTTAACCGATATGCTATTCAACACATTTTCTTCTACAAACGGTTTGTAAAATCTTAAAACAATAAAAGCATGGAAAATGAACCTTTTCAAGTGAGCTGTTGCTGTTGTTCTAGCTTTAATGCCAACAACATTTTCAACTATCAGACAATCCAGAATCTCTACCAGTAGAAACTTTTTCATGGTTTTTTGTATATTATGTCAGCCTTGAGTGTTTTAAGTATTATAGTTTGTGAATTTAAAAGTTTTCTTGAATAATGTTTAATAGAGTTTTTATCTTACTCACTGAATTTATTATACGATTATTATTCGTTCTTTAGTTCAATTAAGTACCAACAGCAAATAATACAATTAAGTTGTCAAAGCTGGTTAACTGCTTAATATAAAGTTCATAGGTACAAAATTTAATTGATCACTTAAATCATCTCGAAACAAGGTTTTGGACAATTGATACAAAACTTAATAGATTTTCCTTTCCATTTAATGGCAGTCTGGTTGTATTTTAAAATAACATAAAATCCTTCAAAAAAATTTTAAAAAAGGGGTCTTTTCTTTTGAACTATTTTTTTCTAGTTTCCAGATCACTTTCTTCGCAAAAAACGTTATCAACTAATAAATTGTACTCTATATGTTTGTAAATGATGATCGTCCAGGTTAATGAAGTCCTGAGAAGGACTGTTTTTGATGTTGTTGACTGACGTTTCGACAACCTTAGCGGTAGTCATCTTCACAGTCAAATGAGGAGTAAACGTCAGGTTAGCCGTATTTATTGTCTGGTTCTTACGTCATTGTATTGTGTGTACAGGAAATGTGCAGGAAATGTGTATTGTCATTGTGGATTAGTGTGAAGTGAAATATTTTATTTTTAGTTGTGATGTGTGATTTAGGTGTGACGTTTTTAGTTGTAATGTGTGGGTGTCAATTGTGTATTGTCATTGTGAATTAGTTTGAAGTGTAATGTTTTTAGTTGATCGTTTGTTTGTATTGTGAATAAGTCGTTTGTAAGGTGCCGGTAATTGCTGTGATCTGTTCAGGGGGGGGTTTGTTCCAAGTTGGTATACCAACTTTCTAATGTAAGCCGTTGTCTATAGTCAGTACTGTAAGTGATGCATTTTGCCGAGTCCCAGTCAATGTTGTGCTTTGTGATTCGGTGATGTTCGGCAATGTGATTAGTTTTGTCTTGTTTCTTAGTAGCTCGTTTGTGCTCAGTAAGTCTTATGTTTAAGTTCCTGCCAGTTTCCCCGATATAGGAGGCGTGGCAGTCGGAGCAGTTTATTTTGTAAACTGCACCTTGTCGTTCATTGGGTTGTTCTTTGTCCTTTATGTTCGTTAGTACTTGTCGTAATGTTGTGATTGGTTTATGTGCGACACGTATGTTGTATGGTCGTAAGATACGCGAGATAGTCTCAGACGTACCTTTGATATAAGGTATCGTTGCTGTTGTCACTGAGTTGTTCGTTCTGTTGGGTTCGTTGGGTTTGTAAGTGTTGCGTTTGATAAAGTCAGAGTTATAGTTGTTTTGTCAAAACACGTTTGAGATAGTTGTTTTCGTTTTGTAGAGCGTCCGGTGAATCACATATGATTTGTGCACGTCTTGTTAATGTTCTGATTGTGGTGGCTTTGTGTGATGTAGGGTTGTAAGATGATTGGTCTAGTAGTCGGTCAGTATGTGTTTGCTTGCGATAAACTGTTGTTCCTAGTTTTTGATTGTCATGTTTTACCAAACAGTCGAGAAAAGGAAGAGTTCCGTTTTCTTCGACATCTTTGGTAAATTGTATGTGGCTGTTCTGTTTGTTGATGCGAATATGGAAGTCATCAATCTCGTCTGCATGTAGTGCTGTTATTGTGTCATCTACGTAGCGAAACCAAAAAGGTAGTGCATGTTTGTAAGTCATGAGTGCCCGTTCCTCTATAGATTGCATTGCAATTTCAGCAACTACAACAGAAACGGGCGAGCCCATTGCTGTCCCATGTAATTGTTTGTAGTGTGTTCCTTTGTATTGGAAGTAAGTCGAGGTGAGGCAGAGCTCTAGTAACTCCATAATGTCTTCTGTTGGTAATGGCAGTACATCCGTGGTGTTTGTAATGAGGGTTTTTGTACAAGTAAGTGCCAGATTAAGTGGAATACTGGTGAACAGTGATTTCACATCAAAAGACACTAATATATAGTTGTCTGGTATTTGTATAGTGCACAGTTTTTCAATGAAAGTTTCAGTGGATTGTAGCTTGTGTTTTGATTTGTTTGTGAGTGGTTGCAGTATGTTAGTCAAGTACTTTGAAAGTTCGTAAGTAGGCGAACCACAGAATGATACAATTGGTCGCATGGGTATTTGTGGTTTGTGAAGTTTTGGTAGTCCGTATAGTCTGGGTGGTCGTGGTACTGAACATCTGAGTCGATAGTAAATACGTTCAGATATAATGTTAGATTTTCTCATAGAGAAGATCTTGCTGTTAAGTTTGCGTACTAGTGATGGTGTTGGGTCTCGTTTGAGTTGTTCGTACGTTTGTCTGTCGTTAACAAGTGCGTCCATTTTGTTAAAGTAATCATTCCTGTCCATGACCACAGTCACGCGTCCTTTGTCTGCTGGTAAAATGACGATGTTGTTGTCGTGTTTTAGTCGTTTGAGTGCTTGTTGTTCGTCTTTTGTCAAGTTGTTGTCACGTATAGAGGACGATTGTAAAGTGGAGGCTATCCTGCTTCTGATCTCGTCTTTAGTTGTCTCTGACAAGTCTCTTTGATACGCTAGGACAGCCTCGACACTTGATACTATCGTCTCAGTCGGGATTTGTCTAGGTGTTATGGAATGTTTTAGTCCGTAAGATAGTAGTCGCGTTTCAGTTTCGACTAATGGGCGGGAAGAAATATTCCTCACCCAGTTATCGTCATGTAACAAGTAACGAGGTATCATGTAACGAGGTATGTCATGTAACGAGGTATCATGTAACGAGTTATCGTCATGTTCTTCTTGTTCATGTTCTTGGTGGTGTCATAGCTTCAACTAACTTTCCTTATATAGGTAATAGTCCTGTTATCTTATGCCTCGTTCTTTAAACTCGTCACTGCGTATCCACGTATCCACTAAAAAACATAGCTTCAACTAACTTTCTTTACATAGGCACTAGTCCTCATATCTTATAAATCGTTCTTTAAACTCGTCACTGCGTATCCACGTATCCGTGTATCCAACAAAAAACATAGCTTCAACCATCTTTCTTTATATGGGTACTAATCCTCTTATCTTATGCCTCGTTCTTTAAAATCGTTACTGCGTATCCACGTATCCGCGTATCCACTAAAAAACATAGCTTCGACTAACTTTCTTTACATAGGTACTAGTCCTCTTATCTTATGCCTCGTTCTTTAAACTAGTCCTCTTATCTTATGCCTCAATCTTTAAACTAGTCCTCTTATCTTATGCCTCGTTCCTTAAACTCGTCACTGCGTATCCGCGTATCGACTAAAAAACATAGCTTCAACTATCTTTCTTTATATGGTAATAGTTCTCTTATCTTATGCCTCGTTCTTTAAACTCGTCACTGCGTATGCACGTATCCGCGTATCCACTAAAAATTATA